ATTTTGACAGAGTTCAGACAATATTTTGGAAAAATACCGATGTTTTAATAGAAATTCACCGGCAATTTGAGGGGGGTTGTAGACTGAGGTGTGACGTCATTTTAGGGGGGGTCTGGCTTTTTGTGACGATGTGTGACGGAGGGGAGGGGGGGAGGTAAAAATTGACCAAAAAAAAGCGTCACGTCACTTATGGATGACCCCTATTGCGCACCTGTTTGGCCTGTCTATCTATTCTGGGGGAAAAGCGTCCGACCCATTAAGGTATAAAGCCCCCCCCCCCGAGTTTCTGTCCCCCCCCCCGGAAGAAATTCTACCGCCCCTTCCGCCCCCCCCCCCCCCTCCACACCGGAAAATGTAGCCCCCCCCCCCCCCCTTCCGAAAATATCAATTAGAGAAAAAAGTCTGGAAGAAGCACTACCCCCCCCCCCCCACTCTCCTTACACATATAAGCGCGGATTTAGACCTTTAGACCCACAATCGTTGGTCCTGTCTAGTTCTACTAAATCTGCCTTTTTTTTACATTTCCGTTGTTTGTATGTTAAGCTTTCATTATAAAAAGCAAAGGGTAACACTAACCATGAGCACTGACTTTCAATAGTATCACCTATTACGATTTCTCAGATTTTAAGTTTATGTATTAGCTCTATGTAGAATCTCTACATCTAGGAGGCTAAAAGTTTAAGTTAACGAATATATTTGTTAGTTAGTGAAATAAATGTAATACTGCTGCTTTACATAAATTATTAGTAGCCATTTAAAAATATTCCTCTGTATTGTTTCGTAAAAATATATTGAGTATCTTTTTTAATAAACTAAATAATAAAAAACTAAAACTCTTTAAGATAAGGCTCAATAATTTTTCAGTGTTGTTGATATAAAAATAAATTCACACCTCAGTATCAATTTTAGAATAGTGCTCGTAAATCTACATTGAATAACAGAAAACATTTATTGAATACAATGGCTACAGGAGGGGAAGGTGTTACAGTATGGTATCAAAGAGAAGTTGCTATTCCTTCAAAATCCCGTGGCTGTCATTACATAACAGATGAAATAATGCACTCCTGTAAAGAAGAGATGAGCAAAATTATTAAATTAAAGTTGGAGTTGCAAATATTCACAGTGAGTAAGACGTAAGACAAGTGCTCAGTGAGGCTCATGTTATCTTTCCCTTGCCTAAGTAATAAAGTATTAAGTAAGTTCTTAGTATAACTTGGAATAGATCTGGTCAGGTAGAAATCTACATTTTGTTAATTGATAATTAATAATTACTAATGGACACCAGCGAGAAAAGTCTCATAGGTATTTGAGAGGTGTATAAATTCATTTAAAAATCTTGCACGGCGTAGTTACAATTAATATGGTTATAAAATCCTGTCTGTCTGGTTTTTTTCGGACTTTACTAAAGATTGGATGTATTTGATGTTTTTAATATTTTCGGTAACTAAATAAAAATTTTAAAAAAAGCAAAAACAATTTGGTTTTCACGTGTAATGGCGACATAAACAATGGCCGCCGTACATTTTATTGTACACATTGTAAGCTAAAAATAAAAAAAATAGGTCATGGTGTTTAAATTTGCATAGTTATTTAAAAACTTGATCTGCAAAGTTTTGTAAACAAAATAACTATAAAGTGGGGCTGTCAGAAATCGATCACGGAGTTCCTTTACAGCCAATCAATGTTTGTCTTACGAAAGTGAAACATCGGGTTATAACTTAGGCTTGATGAAAATAAATAGAAATGTAGCCTTAAACTCAACAAATTATTTTCAAGTTCTCTGGATCTGCAACTTGTATAGCATTGATTCTAAAAATATTACATTTCTGAATTAATTTTAGGCTTAAGTTTTTAATAAAATTTTATCTTTTATTAGTTTTATGGTCCTAAATCTAAAAAAGCACATTTTTATTCCGTGTCAACAACATTACGGAAGGAATCTCGTCAACTCGCTGGTGTCCATTTAGTAATTAATTGTGCTTAGGGCTTAGGTCTATGTCTATAAATATTAAATAAGTTATAAATTAGTCTGAGTCATTTGGTAATCTATCGTTTTAGGTACGTAAAATCTAACGAAACTAGTAATGTGAAAAAAAAAGTGGCTCATTAAAGGTTTTGAACTCGAGATTTTTGCGAATTTATCAACCATGAGCTTTTTTTGCCGACTCGACCACGCCTCCATCACAATTAAGGATGTGTCAACTGGTTATGCGCCATTGAGGCCATTGACTCCAATTTCAGCCTGCTTTTCTTTTTGGATTTGCTTCCATAGCCTTTGTCCAACCAAGAACAAACCACAAAAAATTTCATTAATGTACCTATTTTAAACAATTGTTTTAAAACTTTTCAGTTAAAAATAAAGAGTAGCGATGTTTTCATCAGATGCTACCAAGCTCATTTACTTATATAACAATATACTTCTATTAAAGCCTTAACAATGAGGCAACTTTTTCGCACATTACTAGCCTCGGCTGATTGTACGCACCTAAATCGATAGATAACCAGTTATTTTTATATTATATATTATATAGGCCTATTATATCTTTATTATCATATATATAAATATTATATCTTGAAATAGCTTTTAGCTGTAGTTGCTTATTCTTTGTTTGATTAGGCAAAATAAGTGTGTTATAATTGCTAGTAATACCTATTGAAATTTTTAACTCTAACCTAAATTTCTTACCATAAATACTCAAGAGATGACTGAAAAAGAGCTTCAGCTATAATACACAATCTTGAGGTTGCAAAGCTAGCAGAAATTAAACATCTTATTTCTGTTAAACTTTAAACCTGAGCTTTGCTGAGCTTGTGATAGCCTTTTTAATGATAGTATTTAACCCTAACATATACCATATTTTATACTTGCTTGTATTAACTTACTCTGAACTTTATATAAGCTTAATTTAAATTACTCATTCAAACTTCAATTACTAATATTTGTTCTTGTCAGTTTACTTTTTTCCCAATATAAACTTTTTTTACTTACTTGACAAGTTTTATGCTACAAGCTGAATACATTGATAAATGTCTTTGTTTTTCTTTTTTCAGTAAAACATACTTCAGCAAGTATAATTTTAAATGAGGTTAGTCTGTAGTTTAATTATTGCCTTATTTTCACCACCATGAGATTAAAATTATACAGCTTTGACATTGTATGTTGTGCCTATTGTAATATTAAAGCAGGAACAAAATATAAACAAAATGCAGCACCTAGCATGCATGTATATTGAATTTAAATTAAGGTTTTAATATCAAATTTTTGTTCCAGAATTATGATCGAACAGTTTTGTAAGTATTAACATACCTTCTGGTTCCTTCCACAATCACTAGTCACTTATTGGGGGTTTTGAGTTAGTATTTAAAATTTATAGTTAACTTATTCTTCTATTGTATGGCACTTAAACTGTAAATCAATTTGCACATTTTTTATTTTGTTTCAGTTTAACATAACTTATAATAGTCATTTTATTCAGTTTTGTTTTTCAAAATTATTCATAACTTGAAAAACTATTTATGCATTTGTGTAATAATTGCAACATATTAATCCTAAGTTGTGCCTGGCAAGTTCTATTATATTGTGTAAAACGATAATCTTGTATTTCTTTTAAACTCAATAGAAATAATACAAGACAAATCAGTCTATAAGAAAGAATTTCCGTTTTCTATTGTTTTTTTATCAAGTGTTTATATATTAATCGTGTAGTTAAAAAATTTTATATCAATTTTGTTTTAATTATAGGCCATTGAATCTTTTACTTCAGATCTGACATGGAAATGGTTTTAAATAAGCTTGCACCTGAGGTAAAATAAAAACACTTCTCTGTTGGAACATAGTCTTCTTCAGAAAATTACTGTTGTAATTTAGTGCAATAATACACACATGCTTTTTTTTAATCATGTTTAGGCTACATTTTCAACTTTTAATCTGAACTGAAATGTTAAAATAATTTTAGAGGTAAACTTGTGTATTTTATTGCATTAACTTGTTTCTTCTTCAAGATGGTACTTTAAACTCTGAAGCACAATATTGAGTTTACTGTACTTAAATATTTACACATATTTAAAATTGTTATTTTTAGAACTGGAACTACAAGCATTCATTAGAAGGCCCAGATGACATGGTACTAATTTTTTTTATTTTCATTTACCACTTTTTTACCTTCCATAAATAATTGTTAAAATTCCTTCAAATATTGTATATGGAAGACCAACTAAATAATTTTGTAACTAATTATATTTATACCCAATATGTATTTTCCCTTTTAAAAAAGCCAGCTCATGCTAAAGCAGCCCTGTTAGGAAGCAGTGTTAGTATTCCAATTACAGATGGAAAATTCAATTTAGGAACGTGGCAGGGTGTTTGGTTATGTGAACACAGAGATCATGGTGGTAAGAGATATAAAAAAAACTATGGTATTTGTTCAAGTGTGTTTAAAATGTTGAGTACTTTTCCTTGTTGAATATATAACACAACAAAAAATTTTTATTTGCCAGTGGAACAATGAAAAGATTAACTTAACACAATAGGATAAATATGCTGCTTTATTTTCAATTTCCCCTATTTTTAGATTCTTGTTTAAGCGTTAATTATTTATTAAAATACATGACAGTTTTTAAAATGATGTTATTAAATTTAATGATTCTGTATTAAAAGAAAGTATTGTAATTTAAATTTAAATTCTATTACTGCCCTTTTTAAGCATCTTTAGCAAATTCACTATTGACATTTTATGTTTATTTTCAGGATCAAGGAAACTGGTAGTGACAATGAATGGTCTAAAAAAATAAGCTATACTAAGCTTCAATAGGAATAACTAAAAATAATTAAAGCATTTGCTAACTGTTTTGTTTTTAAAACCCTCTGAACGTTGCTTTTAAATTGCATACTATTGTGCGATGAAAGCACTATTAACTGTATTTAAAATTATTTTAGCATTTAGCAAACATTGGAAAAAAAATTGTGTCCTTTTGGAAGAAAAGGCTAACTGCATGCCAAAATGAAACTTATTAAAGTATGTGTGAAAACTTTTGTTTTAATCTAGAATAAACAATTATTCAAAACCAAACTTGTTCTATTTGCATTCTATCACTATTTAAGACACCTAACATTTCCTAGATTTAGTTTTTATTCAAAATTTATATTCCTAAAAAAAATTTACTTCATGATAAAAAAAAAAGATTTTTGTCAGCTGAATTATTTAAAAATTACTTGTCCTGCATTTTTAATTCAAATAATTGCTTTCCAGTACATTAATATGAGTCAAACTAATAGGATCCTTTGGTAGAATATGTTCTAAATACATGTTTAAACATACCACTTTAATTGTTTTTCCATTTCAAAAGCAATTCTGATTTAAAGTCTGAAATCAGTTTTAAAGAATGTCAGGATGGTATAACTAGTACCATAGTATTAGATGCAGGATATGAACTTATAAATAGCTTTTTTAAAATCAGAAAAGAAACCATGTTATCCATTCCAGTATATTAATATTATGTAAAAAAAGCAGACTAAAAGTGATAAAAAAGCAAGCACAAGTAAATATAAAAAATGTAGGTGTTAGTTTTTAAAATATAAATACAGAAATTAAATTTCAAACGGACCAATGCAAATTATTATAAATCAAAAAAATGTATAGACAAATGTTATCAATTTAGAAGACACGAAATAAACTGAAAAGAAACTTTACTCTAATGGACTTTTTATTTACAAAGTAAATATTACACACAAACAAATAAAATTCATACAATTGCATTCACATGTAACCTCAATAAGAAGTTAAAATGCCATAGCCTACAACTAAAGCAGAATGATTATACATTATGAAATTATAAGTAGAGACAGGTATGATGAATGCTTCTAGAAAAATTGTCTATTTCCTGGAAGACAGCAACGAGTTTAGGACTGACTTAATCATTTTAAAAATGAGCTATTCTAAATCTATGGATAACTACTTAAAGAGCTAAACACAAGCTGCGTTTTTTTTTTCATTTGGAAATGATAAGGAAATCATTACGTATTGAAATGAACAAGGTTTTTAGTATGAATATATCTTCTTAGTACATATTAATGTTGTTTTTTAGCAGTTGATGGTGTGAAAAGAGTAGGACTAGCATTTCATGTTGGTCAAGTTTATGCAAACAGAATTGATTCATACAATTCCTTAAAATAAAGGAAAATAATCTTATCCAACAATATCCTGTATTGCACCAGAATTTATAAAACAAAGAAAAGGGATCTTGCAGTTATGAAAGTAAAAAACAATACATGGTGAAACTGCTGAAATGAAAAAACTCAATTCTTTTACCAAATCGCATTGACAAAAAGTAAATAAATTATACATTTATACAATAAACAATTATCGCAAGAAATATACCTGTATTATGTTTCTACTTCTACAAATCATAGAAAAGTATTTAAAGGGGAATTTTCATTTCAACCACCAGACGCTACAAGCACAAATGAATTAAGCAACATTTTTAAAAAATAAAATTTCAGTATAACAACAATAGTTTTGCCATATAGTTGTAACTTTTAATATTTTTAACACTAACGGTTTCAATAATTTGTTTTAATTTTGGCTGCAAAATAATAGGGTAATTGTGGTCTTATATTAACACAGATGTGTAGTTTGCTTACATAAAGTTGTTATAATATAGAAAAAAACGTACAAAGACATAACTAGCAAAATGTCTTGAAAACACAGTGGTCACAATAAGTTGAGTACAAGCATGAGATTTTAGGGTATTCGGGGGTAATTTTTAAAAGACAAAGACAACAAAGTGAACCCCTGATCATCAAACAGAAAAATTAATGGGTTGTAAAAAAAAAAGTAAAACAAGTTAAGTCGAAAAACATGGTCACATCATAGATTTCTATGGTTGATTTGTAATTTAGCTTCATTAAACATCAATGTATAAATAAATGCAGTTAATTTCTAAGGGAGTCTAATGGCTTCAGCTATCACATTAAACAATTATATTTTGTTTTGTTCTCAACTGGTTTAGTTTTAAGAAAATTGCTTACAATGAAAAACCAATAATCTTGAAAGAGAGTTTTACTGTTAAAAATGTATATAAAACTTAATTTTGAGTAGTTTCAATATTACCTAGTTATAAACTATCTCCAAGACTTTCATAGCTCAATGTAATTGTAATGACAGTAATTTAAATAAATATAACTACAATGATTAAAATGTTTTTCTGTGAATAGCTTTAACTCCTTCCTCGTGATACTCTCGTTTGGAAACCCACATTTTACGGAAAGTGTCCAGGGAAGCAAGAATTGAACCACTGAAAATAAAGTATAAGATGTTTCCTAGATCTAGTAAAAAAAGGATTAAAAATAATAAACCAGTAGAAAGACTGGAGTATTTTGTTAACATGTAAATTATAATACTTTAAATAAGTATAATGTTCAAATTAAATACTGGATTTCTTACCCTATCCAAGTAGAGTATAATCTTTCTTGAGGAGCTGATATCTATTTTTAAACAAAGTAGTAAAATTAACTTTTTAACAAATTAATATGATAAAAAAACATATTTAGACATTTTTTTAACTAAAAAAATTAACTTATAGGCTAAATTAGCTTACCCTCAGTTTGACATCTCTTGGGGAAAGTTTCTTCACTTCACTTAGAAGTCTGTCACCAAATCCTGTAAAGATTTTATTTACAATTTATTACTATTACTGAAGATTTTTGTATCTGTATTAAAATTGTTTAAAATGCAGGATACATTTTTACACTTTGCACCTTAAAGTTTTATTATTTGTGTTATCCTTTAAAACACAAAATCTAATGGATTTTTAAATATTGCAAACATTATTAACACACAACAGCTTACCTTTAAACAGAGTTGATCCCCCACTAAGCACAATATTTGAATATAGAGTTTTCCTTAAGTCTAAATCAGACTTTTGAATAGAGCATGACAAAACCTCATGAATTCCTTCACATTCATCTCCTATCAGATCAGGCCTAAAGAGAAGTTCTGGTGCTCGAAACCTTGCAGGGCCAATCTGAAAAATTGTAATATATAAATAATGCCTGTAAAAATAAAACAATGCGTATAATTTTAATTAACTAATTCAAATAAATAATAAGTCATTTATTCAACTTTTATTATATTTGTATTCCTAAATGTGTTTTGTGCAAAACAATTTAGTTATTTATTACAAAATAAGTTATACTTATTAAATTAAAAGATAAGAAAAAAAATAACCTCAACAGTATTTCCATCTGGCAGAGTATAGAGAACTTTTTCAGTCTCCATGCTTTCTTCTCTCAGTGGATTTATTGACAGATAACACAGTCTCTGTTTAATTTAAAAATGTATTAATTCAAATACTGAAAATCTGGTGAAAATATAATACTATTAATGCAGTATTTTTGTTTTAAACTGCTATATTAAATACTATTTCCCACCTCTTTCAGTTGTTTGACCACCTCAAATTCAGCAGATGTGTGGAAATCAAACCCCTCTTTTCTAAGCAGCAGGCGGAGATATTTTGTAACATCCCTGCCAGCTATATCAACTCTCATTATGCTATGTGGCATAGCAAAGCCCTCATAAATTGGTACAGCATGAGTAACTCCATCTCCTGCATCAAGAACTACACCTGTTGTACGCCCAGTTGCATATCTAAACAAACAAAAATATTATGACTGTGATTTGACAAGAAACTTTATAAACAAAAAAAATGTTTAATTAAATAAAAAATCAAACTTACAAACTAAGCACAGCCTGTATTGAAATAAAGAGGGCAGGAACGTTGAATGTTTCAAAAAATATCTCTGCAGCTTTTTCTCTGTTTCTTTGTGGATTTAATGGAGCTTCAGTCAATAAAACAGGATGCTGTCATTTGATAAAATGGATTTAAAGTTAGAAAAAGTAAAAACCTAAACCTCAAATGTTAGTTTATATATTTCCATATAAATTTTAGTCAACTGTAATACATATGTAGATAGCTACAAGTGTAGTATTTAACATACTTTTAAATACAGCTATGTTAACATAATCATAATACAGCTCAACTTAAATAAACAAACTTACTTCTTCTGAAATGGTTTGTAACTGATCTTTTGAATAAATATACTGCCATATCTGCTCCATGTCATTCCAGTCTTTAACAATGCCATGTTCCATTGGGTAACGAATAGACAACAGGCCTCTATGTTCCTAATTTTAAAATATGAAAATAAATGTTATTAAAAAATATCACGACAATAAGGGATAATTTCAAGCTAGCGATTTTTAAATTAAATCAGTATGAAAATTTCAAGGAATAATACATAATACATAATGCTAATAAAAGATTTATACCAAAGAATCCCTCATTCACATAAGTATTAACTGTTAGCACTAACAATAAGTTTATACTTTATTTACCTCTGCTTCTGGTCCAAGAAACATATCCCCTTCGAGGGCGCCTGCCATGATACGAACATGTTTCGGTCTTCCAATGCTGAAAATTACCATTGAATAAATAATTACAAACCATATTTAATTGTGTTCGCTTTTCAATGAAAACTTAGACACTGTAATTTCTATCATTAAGTAAAATAAATTTTAAATCATTTAGTAACTTAAATTATATGAGTTAGCTATTGCATAATCCTAGTTTGTAACTACTGGCCACGCAAAATATTGTATACATGAACTAATACACTTGTTTTTTAATAAATGCAAAGACTATTTGAATAATCAATTCAACGTAATGTAAGCAAAGTACGTTTTATTGCCAATTAGAAAACTGTTTTGGCGTATGATGATAGATATTGCTGTTTTTTTTAAACAGATTACTTACTAATTTGGAAATATATACTTTGGGACCTGATCACCTGCAAATCCGGCCTTGATAACACCTGATCCCTAAATTTTATTAAAAAAAGTTAATCAGTTTAAAATTTGGATTACTGCTGTAATATAGTAAAAAAAAAAAGAAATTAGTGTCTATGTTGGAGTCATGTTATCCTAAGGGGGTTAAATGTTTCATTATCAAGATTTAAGGAAAAGGGTATTATTTAATTTGATTAGCTGGGGACAGCAAGTGATCTAGGAGGGAAAATTCCAAAATCATACAGCTGCTGCTTTGTATTTGTTGTTGGTTGGACAAAGGCTAAGAGAGCAATTCCAGAAAGAAAAGCAGTCTGAAATTGGAGTCAACTGACTATATGAATCATAACACATTACACTTAATACTTGATTGTGTTGGAGTAAATCCCAACATTACAAGTAAAACAAAGAAGAAGAAAGCTATACTTTTCTTCTAATTACTATTTAAATATGCATATTTCAACATGAAATAAGATTAAGGCAAAATAAACACAATTATGTTTTAAATCAAGCTAATTAAACTTAGGGATTTTTTTATACCAGTGTCTGATAAATAGGCCTACTGATAATAGAATCTTCTTTAAAAAGGGGTGTTAGGTTACTGGTAGGTAACTAAAATACAATAAGGCATAAAACTAACCCTAATTTTTAAATTACAATACAACTACAGTACTACACTTAAGTCACCAAGTGACTTCAACACATCTATTTTTGGCAGAGTCTACAATCAGACATCAGTATCTTCAATCATCCTATGAATACTTTATTTTTATGTTTATATTGAGTTTTGCAATTGCAAAAAAAAAACGAATAGGTGGGCCTAATAATAATGTAAACGTCCTAAAAATGAGTCATCAAAATAAAATAAATGGCAAATGGCAATGAAGAAGAGGGCCTAAAAACTAAAATAAAATCATAGATCTAAGTCATTGAATGAAAATGGATACAAATGACAAAGCTACTGATATTTCTTGATATATCATACATTTTTAAATTTTTTAAATCGGAGTTCTAAAAGCTCAAAATTCTAAATCGATCACGCGAAACGCTCGACAAAGTATGCGACAGGTTGTGGATTAGTAATTTATTTATTGCATACAAATAACGACAACTCGTCTTCTACATCTTGAGATTTGGATTCTAGCTCCGTTGAGTTGTCAGACTCTGTGTTTCTGTTCGAGAATTGTTTTAAAATTTAAACACAAAAAACAAATTCTTAAATAATGTCTATTTTAAAAACAATGAATAAAACAACATATAATAGTCATACATTATCAATCACTACAGGCTGGTTTGCAATGACATCATAGGAATCCATTTTATATTTGTAGTATTTGTGTACTCCGGCATATATAAATAAGCTCCCTTTCAACCACTGGAAATGGAACTCTTTAGTTTCTCTCTTATTGGTATTCCGGAAACAGATTTCTGGGTAAGCCGACTTACCCAGATTTTATTATTTTTAGTAGCCCATAGTAGGCAAGACTAGTAATAAATAAACATTTGTAATTTGTTCCATTCACCCAACTTTTTAGAAAAATATAAAAATGCGAGTAGTTCGCTTATAAAAAATTAATTCCAGCCATAATGCATTTAAAATGATATGTTAAAAGTAAATGTAGATGACATCTTAGAATTAGAAAGCCCAAGTTAATTTAAATTTTAAACCTATAGAGTATAAACTACAAAGGATAGTTTCAGAAACTACGTATAAGGGGTCGTCCATAAATGACGTCACACTCGTAGGGGGGGAGGGGGGTCCGTAATTTTGTGACGGTGTGTGATGAGGGGGAGGGGGGATCAGATGGTGCGACGTCACACTTTTGCATTGTAAAAAAGCAATGTTAGAAAACGAATTTTAGACGTTATTTCGCTTTTTAGAAAACTGATTTAATAAATTGTAATAGGAATTGATTAAAATACTCTATTTTGACAGAGTTCAGACAAGATTTTAGAAAAATATCGATGTTTTTAAAAAATTCAACTGCAATTTTGAGGGGGGTTGAAGGCTGAGGCGTGACTTCATTTTAGGGGGTCTGGCTTTTTGTGACGACGTGTGACGGAGTGGAGGGGGCAGGTAAAAATCGTCCAAAAAAAGCGTGACGTCATATATGGATGACCCCTAACAACAATTTGCTGTTTTAACAAAATATGTTATATCTAAAAACATCCCACCACTTTAGGACATGGAGAAAATATTTTATATAAATTAGGGTTAGACTAGAGAGAGGAATTATTGTTTTTTGTTGTTTTTTTTTACCATATAATTTATTATAATAATCAAGCCCGTTTGTCACAGAAATTCCCATTGTCACAGAAATTTAAGGCGCCCCTTACGCCAAAAAAATAATCATCTACATTCTCACCCCCTCCCCCGCATTGCAGTTTTTTTTTTTTAAGTTGCAATTTCTCTCTAAAAAAATATGAGCTGGCGCAAGTTAGGTTTATTGGTTCATTTTCACTACAATTTACAAAATAAAAATCTTTAGGAATGCAAAATAAATTATTAGTAAGCTTAAAAATAACTTTTAAAATGTAAAAGTGTTACGTCACACTTTCTTAACCTCCCTCATCTCACGTCGCCACAAAGGTCTTCCTACCCCCCCCCCCCCCTCCCCCCACCAAGCCTACAGGTTGAGAAATATTTTATTAGTCCAAATGGTTTATGTCTTCAAACAAATATAGAGGGGGGAAACACGAGCTCCACAACATATACATTGATTATATATCTGCGATTTTGTTTTTTATTTTTTTTATTTTTTAACAGATAAAAATTAGTCCTACGTGACAACTCGGTGGCTATACATCAAGGCCTATAGAGAACTAAAGTATAAGGGAAGTGATGGGAACGGTGATACTAACAAGGTGGAAACCAAAGGGGAGGGGATGAAAACGAAAGCTTAGGCTTAGGCCTAACACACTTTGTTTTACAGCCTATGGACCAACCCCAGTCACATCACAAGACCCCACTCGTTTTCTACTTGGGTGGCCTCCTCGTGTTTTGGCTGTTCCCTCAGTTGGTAATTACGTCAACATTTTGCTATTTCATTTAATGTACATATTTTTTTTAGTTTAAAAAATTTACATATTTATATATTTTATGGATATTAATTTGATAATTTGTCATTAAACTAGTTTAATGTAGGTAACTAAATGGGAATATTAAAAGCAACTCGAATATCGTCCTAAGTAGGTAAATAGGTCGTAACAGCGAACTGAGATACCAGATTCAGAAAGTGTTTCAAGATGGATGATAGAGAAAGGATTTCTGCTAGTTATTCATCAGGAAATGTTCCTTTAACACCGCCAGGATTAGAAGCTATATATTCCGCATGTCGACGGTTGTATCCCGATCAACCAAATCCTCTTCAGGTTACGGCATTGGTCAAGTATTGGTAAGCCATTAGACTAGATAAATATTAATATTGGCTAGAATCTACAATTTTTAATACGACAAAAAAAATGTTTTAAAAAACACAATGAAAAATCGGAAAAAAATTTGGCTAACTTCTCGTCCTAGTTTACTGTTTTTCTTTAACAAAATTGACAACTTAGGACTTTGTCCAGGTGTAAATTTAGCTATAGAATCTAGTAAGTGAGACTTCAAAAACAAGTTACAACACAGTAGCTGAGTAGAGTAGACAGTAAATGAATCTAGATCTAGAATCTAGAATCTCGATGTCAGTTGTAAAAAAAAAAGTTGTTTACAATTTATTTACAAGCTTAAGAAGTAGATCTAGTTTTGGTAAAATCTTAGTTTAGCGTCGTAAATTCGGCCAAAACTAGTAATGTGGGAGAGAGTGAATTAATGAATATGTCATTAAATATGAGTATATTTTTGTATATTTTGATAAAGTATTATAGATAATTGAATAATAGATCACCATTGATGGTTAAATCAATTTAAATTTCCTGAAATTAATTTTTATCAACCCTGTTCGAGATAGTAAATTTGCTATTAAAAACAGCAGCCATCTTAAGAAAATGTTATTGAGAGTAGCTTCCCTTTCATTTCTATTCATATGAAAATGTATTTAAATATGATCGTCTTGTTGTATAGTCCATATTACAAAGCATTTTTTTAAAATGTGAATTTCCTAACAAACAACTTTATTAATTCTAGAAGCATTGTGAGATGCAACTTGTATCCATGTATTAAATCACGTTTTTTTAAAGCTAATGTTTATTTGATCTTACTATTACTAAATAGTTGTGAGTTTTTTCTTATTGTTTTAATGTTCACTATTTTCATTTCAGGTTTTTCTTTTCATCAATTAGTAATTCTATCGTAACTTATGACATTTTTTTTTACTTCTCTTTACCTTAATTAAACCCCAACCTCCGTCATATTTTTGTCGTCAATGTCACAACAAGTCATAATGTAAAAAATTACGCTTCACTCTGCCTTATCTAAGATCTCTAACCATAATTTTGACAACATTAAATGTTTGTCATCATTTATATATACAGAGAGACAAAATGTATTATCCACCAGCTTCCCTCGTAAAACATCATCTAAAACAATGAGCCAGTCCACCCCTTAAGTGCGTGTTGTCATTATGGTCGATTGCAAGTCTCCACCTGCCAGACACATGTTGGTTATCCTTTGTTGTCAAAATGTCAATATCAAGTACACAAGTGAGTGATATGGGGTTGTCCATAAAAGATGTCACATATGATTTGCTACGAGAGTGAGTGAAGATTTGTGACGTCAACTCAGGCGGCTTTGCAATTTATGACGTGTCGGTCTCATGAAAGGAGATGAACGGGGAAAAATACCTAGATGGTTGATGGAGAACCTCTCTAATGCTTTGTTCGATCAAAATAACAATAAATAAGCATTTGTATACGTATACCTTGCTTAAAACGAATCATCACAAATGTTGCAAGCCTGCTAGTTTAAGACATTCGGCAAAACGGCCGCAACACATTATCCCCGTCAAAAAGGCTTGCCACCAAATGCCTGCCGACGAACAAGCCTCGTCTAATGCGGGGCGTTAGGAATACGGCCATTAGCATGGGCCGCGTTAGAGCACCAGTAGGCTATCGCGCTTTGTAAGATGACGTAAATACTTAAATTCAATTTCGCTAAACTGCGCGAAAATTTAGTAATGTTCCATCGTTTGAGGAAATTTATTTTCTTGGACTTAAACTTAAATTGAAATATCATGTTGACTGTCTGGCTCTTAATTTCCGAATATCACTTTTAATGTATCAAGATTCAGAACTATTATTTACTTTAATATAAGTGTCATCTTATCATTTATTGTGGTTTTTATAAAGCGCAGAGCAGCTACAAAATCGGACGGCCATCCTGTTTTCACCAAGCTTCTTTTGGAGCTTAATATGGGTAGTCTAGTTCTATACGGTGTGAGCTTAATACATTTTTAAAGGGCCGAAAGTATCAAGACAGCAAGCTTGCAGAAATAACTACGTACGTTTAAATGGACGAGTGATAGATGTGTTAGGGCTGTTTAATGAACACCAACTTATGTAATCAAACTAAACGTCGCAAAAGCGTCAAAAAGGCAGTGCTTGTTTTTTTTTTCTATAAAATTAGCCTAACGGTCGGCGGTACCGCTATATGACGTCACGTGCGAGCGTTAACTCGGTGACGATGTGCTAAGTGGGGGAATGAAAAAGGTAGGGTTCAAGAAATGCGACTCGGCAAGCTTTTTACATTTCTTGACCCTTCTTAATAGTTCTTTCGTCCCCACTGTGAAAATGGATCACCAATGAATGACGCGTCATACTTCTACAGCTGGTCTTTCTCCCACAACCATCCCGTTTTCACAACAAAAAAAACCTGACCCGTCTCCAAGATCACATCGCTGAGTTCTACTCAACCTCTCCCCACCACAAATCACAATTTCTACCTGAAACAATATGTTCATATGTTTGCTCTGTAATAATGCACGCTGTCATTACTATCTTAAGAGCGACGTCATTTATGAGCGATCTAATATTGATTTGCTTACTGCAAATAAAGTGTTCAAAAGTTCGACCTCCCAACAATTGTTGTGGTCTTGGATGCACACTTTTTTTGACGATTTTTACCCCCCCCTCCCCCCACCCCTCCGTCACACGTCGTCACAAAAAGCCAGACCCCCCCCTAAAATGACGTCACACCTCAGCCTACAACCCCCCCCCTCAAAATTGCAGTTGAATTTTTTTTAAACAGCTATATTTTTCCAAAATCTTGTCTGAACTCTGTCAAAATAGAGTATTTTAATCAATTGTTATTAAAATGTATTAAAACAGTTTTTTAGAACGCAAAATAACGTCTAAAATTCGTTTTGTAACATTGCTTTTTTAAAATGCAAAAGTGTGACGTCGCACCATCTGAACCCCTCACCCTCCCCCTCATCACACAACGTCACAAAATTACGGACCCCCCTACGAGTGTGACGTCATTTATGGACGACCCCCGGCATATATTAAAACAATACAAGACAATCATATTAAACCACAAAATCAACACAAAAGACATGCGAATAGACAATTTATTGTTTTTAAAACATGGCCGCTGCTTGTATTTACTCATTGTTGTCTCGAACGGGGTAGTTTAAAGTTTATTCCAGGATATTTATGACTGGTTTGGTCTTGGATTGTGATTTGTTATTCAATTATCTGTTATGTTATGTAAAATATGACATAAATATGGCCAAATGAAAGAAATATTCATTAGTTACCTTCATCGCACATTACTAGCTACGTTGGAATTTACGACGCTAAACTAAGATTTTACCCTAGTTTTGATATAATACATTAATAGTGGACCTGAGTAGGCAGGTTATACTCAGAATACAGCATAAGCATATACTGAGATTTTCTTCTAAAAGTTAAACCTGGTGGTCCATGGCTGAGGCAAGTGCAGTAGAGTTAACCAATTTCTTTGAAAGGATAGTATTGTCAGCACTATTCCCACTGTCCTTACTGTCCCTAATGTCAGTTAGTACTCATCAGAGCTGGGTGGACTCACGGATGTTTCACTGACTTGAACCCTGGTTCGAACTCAAGACTTTCAAGTTAGCAGTCTAGCGCCCTAACCCATGTCGTCCAAGGTTACGGAATTATCTGAAAGTTAATATCAAGATTGCTTAAAAATTTAATTATATTAGCCCAACGCCTAATACCTAATTGACTTGTCCCCCTAATTTTAATAAATAACACATTTTTCAACCTTTTCTTCTTTCCCCCCCCCCCCCCCCCCCCACACACACACACACAAATGCACACTCTGACACATATCAAAATTATTGTGGAAACTTTGTGTTTTAGTTTATTTATAAATAGCCCTTTACTACAAAAATTGTTTTTTTTTCCGCTGCTTTTCTAATTACAGGCTTGGAGGACCTGACCCACTCGATTATATAAGTATGTATGCCAATCCAGGTGATCCTGACCGCAATATACCTCCACACTGGCATTATATAAGCTTTGGGCTGTCAGATCTTCATGGAGACTGTAGAGTATATGAGTTAGTATTTTATTTTTACCTATGTAGTGTAAACTGTCATTTGAACTATATCCAATTTGCTAAGAACCAATTACCTTTATATATAGCTTACATTTTGTAAATTACATTAATTTAACTTAATAGATTAGGCGTAGCAGATGGTCCTAGTGGGTTTGGATTTGAACTAACATTTAGACTGAAACGGGAACCAGGAGAAGCTAATCCACCAACGTGGCCAGCAGCACTGATGCAGGCACTGGCTCGATATGTCTTTCAGTCAGGTAAGAAATTATGTTTAAATGTTCTTTCTCTTCTAATTTGAATTCTTACTGTTACATTACAATTTTTTTATAAAAGTGCTAAACACTAGATTTAAAACTGTTTATTTATTCCTTGTATTTGTTACAGAAAATGTACTCTGTAGTGGTGATCATGTTTCATGGCACACGCCTCTTGATGGGAGTGAGTCCCGTATCCAACACATGCTTATGACAGAAGACTCCCAGTTACAGCCTATTTCATCTATATTGGGTGTTGTTAATTTTATACAGGTAATATTTTCAACTTTCCATTTTTAAAAATGTAGCAAGCATAACATTTGTTGTTAAAATCAAAGTGATCAACAACCTGGCTTACTTAGTCATAAGGAAAGTGTTGTTTGCTGTTTGTTAGTGTTTTGTTTTCTTATAATTTGCTTTAGATTGTTGGAGTATGTGGAGAAGAGTTGAAGGCAGCACAACACTGGAACGGCCCTGGAATTATTGAACTTTTACGATCAAAACCTTCGTATGTGAAAAATAAACTAGTTTATGTATTGTTTAAATATATGTGTATTAGTTACTTTCTTCTTTCTTTATTTGGAATTTTTTTTTTTTATTTGTGACTCACCTTTTTGTTTTTGGATTTAAAATAAGGTATCAAATATTAAGTTTTTTACTATGATTTACAGAGCAGGAGGACCCTGGCTAGTTACAGATATGAGAAGGGGAGAAACAATCTTTGAACTAGATCCTCATTTAAAGGTACAGAATTGTTCAGTCATTAATGACATTGAAATAATTAAGGATATGGTTCCTAATTAATGTTTTGCTATGACTTCAAATGAGTGTTATTTTAATAAGATAGCATAAATGGTATTGATACAGTTATTTCTGACACAACCAGCAGTTTAAGATGGTAGCTGTAAATATCTCCAACAGGAAAGAGTAGACCAGGGCATAGAGCAAGAAGGATCTAACCTTAGTGGAGTCAGTGCATGGTGTTCTTGGGATGAACCAGGTGATAATGACAACAACAGTTCAGATGGTGATGATGATAAAGAGAACCGAAAGATCAAAGATGAGTATGACAATGACAGAGAGGATGCAAGAAGGGGAAGCACTGAAACAGACAGAAGGACAATATCACAATATGGTATGTGTAACTATTTTATAAATATATTTCTAATATAGAACATCAACCAGTTGAAAAAGATGTGCATAATTTTCTTAAAACATTTTTCTTCAGAATCTGAACAGATAAAAGCCACCTTAAAAAAAGGTCTTAGTAGTACACACCTCCATGTTAAAGAAGAGTAAGTCTTTTTTAATTCATCTGATTAGATTGCATTTTTTGCTTTAAAATTATTTACAAGTTATTGTACTCCTGGATATTTGTTTAGATCTCAGTCCACATCAAGAAAAGAATCTTTTGACAGTACAGTTAGTTCAGAAGGTCCAACAGAATTAATCAGGACAAGATCTTTAGAATCTGTTCATCTCAAATTTAATCTTGAAGCTGGTTCATTACTCCCACTGGCACTAAGGTATAGATTGCACGTTTTAATAAAGTTGCTTTAGTTAAATAAACTTTAAATGTTTAGCAACATCATCTGCCCTTCCCAACTCTCATTGAATTGTACATATATATTTTTTTACTTTTTATTATTAAATCGTCGTATTCAGCAACAAGGTTGTTTCACTTTCAATCTTATTCCAGAGGGCGTATAAAACATGGTCGCCATTTCACATTTAAAGGAATAATGAATGACATAGCAATAACATTAGTCTCCTCTTCTGTTGTGGGTTCAATAACTGATGAAGAACACCCATTTGCTGCCCATGGCACTTGGTTGCAGGTAATTATCGACAGGGGAATTTCCTCATCTGATTCTTAGTATAGCTAATAATAAATGAGCACTTTTCAGACTAGTCATTAGGACAGTTTAAGAAGCCAGATTTTACAGACACTGTATAAAAAATTATTCTGGAAATAATAGCCAGCTATTTTTACATTCCAAATATAGAGCTGGGTAAATAGAGATGCTCCCAAGTTAGGGTTTTTGTATAACTATTACTTAAGCATAGAACCCCTGGTTTAGTCATGTAATCAGACCATGTATTTTGCAGGTGCTTATTCAAGATGAAGCTATTGATGACATGATTGATGATCTAGATGAACTTTCCAACCCAGATGAGGTTTGTTATCAAATCACTAGCTTAATATTGAAATAAGCATGCAAAAAAAAATAATGTTTAAATGCTAGATCAAGTAATTGAATAAAAAGAACACTATTTATTTCTTCAGATTTTGTGTCCAAAAACTTACAGCTGGCCGGAGAAAAGGTTGTGTATTACCATCTTGCCTGATGAAAGCTAGTCACAGTTCTTGTTTGTTTGTCTTTAAATTATTTTTTAAAAATAGAATGAGTAAGAAACAAGTGATAATCTGCACTCATTTTACTTCAAAATAAGGTTCAGTTTTTTACCCAGACTTTATCATTTAAAGAGAATATTTTAAAATTATTTATTCTTTTTGTCATAAGTTCATATTATAAACAATAGAATAACCTCTTTATGTAAAGGTGCTTTAAATAAAAATGTTCAGATTACAGAAATACTGTTGTTACAGATTCCCCTATTTGTTAGTACAATGATCCTATTGATTTTTTGGAGGATTAAAATACTCATTTTATATTTAGAATAGGAATTGTTGATGGAATTTGTTTTATATTTGTACAATTACAGTTAGTTGTTTTATACTTTTTATACCAATGACTTTTGAAAATATTTTTGGCAAATTTATTTTGCTGCTAAAATTGATGTTATTTACATATTGTAAAATATTTCAGTGAAAGTTTGTCTCTGAAATAATACATAACCAATTAAAATATTGTAAAAATTGTAATTAATTTAAATGTGTGAATGTTGAATATTGTGAGTCAAACGGAATACCAAAAACTTGATTAGACCAGCATTAATGTATTCATGTATGTTACTCTTCATGTTTTGAATGCTGTTGTTTTCTTGTCAGCACTGGCTTTAGAACAAAATTAAATTTATCGAGTTGTTTTTTTCCAGACTTTGAAATCAACTGCCTCAAATGCTTTTAATAAAAGTTATGATTTTTCATATAATGTAAATTAACTTCTTGAATATACTTCTTTTATTAGGTTAAATATTCTATTTAAACATGCATTTCATGTGTTCTATAATCAAGTGCATGATACATTTTTGTTGGAATTGTTTTAGGCTAATTGGATAAATTTTATATGTATCATGTTGGTGTTGATAAGGTTTGCTAAAAAAGTTCTTCAATAGTGCAATTATTTTAAAATAAAATATATTAGCTATTGGTGATACCACCATGTATAATCGGAAAATTTTCATGTATACATTTACTTCTGTAAATAAAGACTGCATTTTTCATCTTTGACAAGTGCAATGAGAAATTGTTGACAGGTTTTGATCATAACAAAACAGCTTTCGCCTAAATTTTGGGAAAATTGTATAAAATTGTTTTTAAGATAAATTGCACTGTCAAACCTGTATATTTCTAAGTGCTGTAATAAATATTTAAAGACTTATGGTTGTTTTCAATTTCTTTAATGTTACAAATTCTCTGATACACAATTCACTCTCATACAGCCTTCTTACACCATTAACATTATAGCATTGAGCTTTTCAATCGTGGAAAATTATAAATACATAAGGGAAAACAAGTATTTGGAACACTACCTTTTTGATAATACTTGCATTACAATTTGACAGGTACACTGGTGCTAAAATGGTTTACTAAAGAACTGTAACTACCCCTGTTTTAGTTGTATTGATCATCAATTTAGTAATCAACTATTAGGTTTATTAAGAATTAATAAACAATTTCACATTACTTATTACTACAATCTCATATAGGCACAAATGAACAGCTGAGCAAAAATAACAAACACCCAATTTTTTAAAATTGTGGTCCATGTTTGTTAGCCCTAAAGTTTAATTAATGTAATTGTCTTGCTTGAATAAAGCTATATATACGAGGAATTTCATATTGCAAAGTTTTCTAAGACCACAATGCAAATCCGTAAAAAAATCCTGACATGTAAGCCTCAGGAGCAGAGAAACTTGTCAACTTCACCCAGTAAAAAACATTTTCATGTCCATAAATTTAACAATATAAAAGTAAACATATAAAAATCATTAAAGTTAGTCAACAATAATTCAAAGAATAGCCCTTAACAGTCCCAGACCCCACCATGAATGAACAACTATGTTATCTTTTGTTTCTTTGCTGGAGGGCTTAATTCTGTATCATCTAATGAACCTGAGGTGGACCTTATTCTTTGCAGTGCAGCATCTGATATGTCTTGGACAACTGTGCATGAATCAGATTTTGCAAGATCTTCAGGCACATTGTGCTCATCTACTGCTGATGAGCATGCAGAAATTGATATTTGATCTTGTGGTTTTAAATGCATTTCCCCTTGAATATCTGTTTGCAAATTTTCTAGCAAACAGTCAGGTTTTAGATCAATTTCAGCACTCAGTGGCCCCTGCATCTGCTTCATGTCTGATTTTTCTAAAATTGAAGTAAAGACAACTGGACTCTGAATTAAATGTTCATCAAATGTGTTGACTGTAGATTTGTTAGGCGAGAGAGTTATTTTCTCCTGAATTAGCTGTGGGGGCTCTCCATCACTGGCATTATCCTCCTCTATTTGAACACTTTCTTCTGCAAGCGAAGGTGGATTCTCTGATAAATCTGGAATCTCTGTCTGGTTTAGTGAGTCAACACCTGATAAATCTGGAATCTCTGTCTGATTTATTTCAGCTATGTCACTTGAATTAGTACTAGTTTGCTGTTTTTCTATACTGATAAGATTGTCAGGTAAGCGACTCTGTTGCAATTCAGTGTTTTCTGAATGTATTTTCAACGCATCTGTAGAGGTTTGTGATTCAACTTTCTGGTCACTTTGTAAAGTCTCAAGGGACTTTGCTGAGTGAGATGAATCGGGTACAATAATAGAGGCAGGTTCGTCCTCTTTTATAGACACAGAATTATCACTAACTGATGTATCTACACAAGTCTGATCTGGTGTGATTTTGTCATTGGCCTGATGTGTTTCTATAACAATCTGATCTGGTGTGCTTTTATCTGTGACTTGATCTGTTTCTGATGCAATCTCATCTGGCGTGCTTTTATCTGTGACCTGATGTGTTTCTATAACAATCTGATCTGGTATGCTTTTATCTGTGAATTGATGTGTTTCTGTAGCAATGTCATCTGGTATTTTGTCAGTAACTTCTACAGCAGTTTCACTAGTGGTCTTGTGTGAGCAAGCATGAGCATGCAGAGTTTCTGAGGATGTACTGGGACTTTCAAGCATTTTCTCATCTGACTGATCTAGTGCTGAGACATCTGTTGTGTCTTGGCTTGTGGCAATATCAGAAGAAACATGTGCTGGCAGTTCTGATGATGGCTGGTTTGACATTAACTGTGGTATTTCTTCTGTAGCTGGTTCATTCATTGTTGCTGAGAAATTGGGATCTATTTGGGGTGGATGCCTTTCTAGTTTACTGTTAGTAGATTCTGATACACTTTCTGTGGAAATGTGTTTACTGCTTTCGCTGGGAAAATCAGTTTCTTCAATTATTTCTCCTTCCTCTTCATCGTCATTACAAGAAGTCGATATGTGACAGTTTTCATCATTAATTGGTAAGGGAGGCAATGGTGCCTGATTTAGGAAAGGGGGAGGTGATGGAGGAAGAGGGGGTTGAAAGTGATCAATATCTTGAGGGAGTGGTGGCAAGTCAGATGGAAGAGGGGGCTGATGTGGGGAGAAGCCTTGCATGAAAGCATGATCTGGATCTGAATAATCTGGAAGTTCTCCTGAAGAAATGGAACTCCCACCCGGTGAAATTGGTGGCCGCTCAATAGAAACATTGTCATCATCATCATCAATATCTTCATCTTCTTTTCTTTCATCTGATGTTTTAGTTTGTGATTTCCGTCTAGTAGGGGAGTAAATAAGTTCACTAGATGATATAGATTCCTTACTGGGAGATTCCTTCCTTCTCTTCTGGGGAGGTGAAGCACCAGATGATGGAGTGGATGGGGATTTACCAACAGGTGACTGTTTTCTTTTCACTTGAGGCGGTGATGGTAGGGGCTCTTCATCAGGAAAATATGGTAACTCATCCGATGATATTGACTCATGACCAGAAGATAGGCGCCGCTCTCTTAATGGCTCAGAGAGAAACTTTGACATCAGTTCTTGTGGTTTGAGGGGAGAGAAAGTCCTCTCCTGGCTCATGAGTTTTGGAGCTGAGGAGGATGAGCGTATAGATGATGCCTTGTCCTTTGTCTTTCTCTTCTTTTTTCTATGCTTGCGTTTCTTTTTGTGATGGGAAGAGCGTGATGAGGACGATGAACAGGAAATTGAACCAGAACTTGACGAGGATGATTTTGATCTCTCTGACGAGGATGAGCGTGATCGGGGTGAGACTGGTGACGGAGGTGACATGGTTTTGTAGACAGATGCAGAACCTTGGTCTAGACCAGGGGAATGTCGTTTTTTGGCCACTGCTTCAAAAGAGTAAGGCGGCGGGCCATCATCTCGCAGGCGCACAGAGGACCTGCTGTGGGAACTGGCTTCAGACTCTGCCCCGTCATATGCTGTACTAATGGGTGATTTTACATGCGATGTGACAGGTATCTCAAGGGACCCCGGATATCTTGTTGTAGTAGGTATATAAGAACCAGATCTAGATTTTAAATTTTAAAAAAAAAAAGAGTTAAAAAACAATAATTACTTTCTTGTTATTTGTTAAAAATAATAATTTAGAACATTTCAATTGTGTCATTATACAGTTAAAATAAGGTTTAGGTTACTAATTTAAAATACATTTCAAATATTCAACTTACTCTGTCCAGGAAGAATATCCCCCTCTATAAATTCCAAGTGGCGTACTGGTTGTTGCTGGAGCCCGAACACTTCGCCGGTCATTCACTTCAGGGTAGTAACCCCGAGCACCTCTAGCCCTTTTCTCAGCCTCTCCAAAATCAACAAGCTCAATGGGTTTTTTGTAAGCCAACCTCTCTTTATCCTCATTACTGTCACTCACAGCCTCATCAGAGTCACTTTTTATCTCCCCTTCATCAGAGGCTTCATCCTCCACAGGAGGAGCAACAACCTTGGTGCTGGTACTTTCTGTGTTCAAATCTTTCTTCACACTTTTTACTTCACTGTCTGAATCTTTTTCCTCTCCCTCCTCTTTCTCAACATCTGAGGCAGCATCTGCATGAGCCAGGTTGTCCAGTGACGACTCTTCATCGGACACTGGTTCCAGTTCTAGCTCTGCCATCATATCCACAGGTTCCTTAGGATGACACGAATCTTCTCCGTTAGGCTCCACAACACTTTCCTTGTTAGTATCAGTGCTGGTCTGGGACAAATATTTTGATACATCCCCACAGCTGTTTTGAGATGCTTTTTCATCATCTGATAAATTAGATTTCTGTGATCTGAAAATAAACATAGCATGTTAAAGGAATGTTCTGAGGAGAAAATTGTTTTTCTTTCAACTTTTAGAAAACTGTATCATAAAATTTCTTTTTACTCATATTAAGCCACCACATATACTTTATTTGCTTTATTCTGTTTAAGACATTTAATTAGTGTTATCTAATGATAGTATTTCTTCTACAATAAAAATTATATAAATCAATTTAAGCAATAATGAAAAGGAGTGAAAATTAACACATTTGCAATCCTCTACAACTTCATTTGCCAAATGATAAAACAAATCTGAAAAAAATAGATTTAAATCCTTCATACCAAAATATAAATTTTTACCTTTGTCTATTATGGTAACTTAGTAATTTAATAACTTTTAATCAGAAAAATAGTGTTATTCTAAGAATAATTCTAAGAATAATTACAACACCAGGTTAAACTTTGTTATGTTTGTTGGCACGTCAATTTATAACAATATGTATATTATTACTTAACCTAAAGCTAGCATATAATATGCACACCCCCCCTCCCCCAATATTTTTGCACAATATGCAGGAGGATCCAGTAAGCCACAGATCACAAAAATTCACCCTAATGTGAAGGGCACATCTGTTTAGAGTTAGATATTATATTGAAGGCTTACTTAGGTGATATATTTTTTAAGTTACTAGTAGGTGCTAAACAGAGTTACGGTCACTAGCTGATTGTAGTTTAAATTCTGCTGTAAAATCTGGTATAACTCTTTTAAAAATTATGGACTGGCCATTACTGAAGGTAGCAGCAAGGGAGAGGATTTGTCCCTTTTTAAAAAAGAAATATTCAATACACATTTAAGTTTAGGTATGCAATACAGAAGTAATGACTAGTTCTCTAATAGAATTTTTCTCAAATAAAACCTACCAAAATTCAGTCATGTTTCACTTATAACTAACTCTCAACTTACTTGACATCAATGCTGGAGAACGGAGGTGTGCCAGGTCTTCTATGGCTAGTGCGAGGCTTGTATAAATCATCCATGTCATATCTTTGATTTCTTGCAACACGACTCTCTAACACATCAGGTGATTTCCTACTAAAATATTTTAATTCCTCTTTAAACATATGGTTGCTCTAATACTAAATATTTTTTTAATTAGTTATGAGCTTATTCCTTTAAACAATAATTAACCTGACTATAGAATTTAAACAAAACAATATCAAGGTGGGGGATTTGTACCTTTTCTCAATCATTTCTTTTATACTTTCTGCACAGCTAGATCTAGATCGGCTTGTTACTTTGGAGGCTACTTCATCACTTTCATGTATCTGTCCTTCATCAGAGTCCGAGGAGTGAAGAGATGGTGAGGGAACTTTATCATCGCCTGGAAACGAAGGTAGAATTTTACTATGTACCTGCTTAACTTCAGACAAACTCATCAAAAGAACATAAGGCTTCATTATGTCAGAAAAAAGGAAAATAATTAACCAAAGTTTTACTCTTTTTTTTTCAACAAATAAAAAGTAAATGCATACTGGAAATTACAATAATAGACATAAGAACATATTTTAATGAATAAATTCAGAAAAACAAAATTTGTGTCAAACCAGTGTTTTCGTCAGAACTGAGGTCTTCATCTGATGAGACCTGCTCCATCTCCACCCCCACAGTTTTGTCATCTGACCTCTCGGACATGGACCTGTCAGAGATGTCGCTGTAAGGTGATGGGCACTGCAGTGTCAGGTCATCAGCCTTGTCTGTGTCTACCATTACCTCTACAGTTTCTCCAACTGTCTCAACCACACATTCCTGAATATCATGTTCAAAATTAGAGATGGAAATCAATATGCATCAATGTTACAGGGAAAGGTTTTAATATTATTTATGGTTTTAAACAAAACATTTAGTTTAGAGAAAATAAACAAACAAATATTAGCATAGTAAATCAAGGACACAATCTTAACTGGCTCTGGATCAAACAGAAAAGTCCCATTAAAAAATTAATTAAATTACTGTTGTAACTTCCATGCTTCCTTTGTCTTGTTAAAATCAAAGATTTTTACACATTTACTACAAAAATTGATCATTACATTTTTAAGGTCCATTATCTAAAAATTGCTAGTGAAGTTTTGAAAACCTATTCAATATATTACCTGATCCACTGTCATTTCCACTACCTCCAAACTGCCATCAAAAGTTACAATCTCCTGAGATGCTAAAACTGGCTCATTGTAGCTCTGATTCAATGTCTTATGTTCAGAAAATATAGATGTAAATTCTCCAGATGTGTATCTGCGATTTCTTGTTCTCTGGCGACGAAGAGCAGCTTTTCTTTCCAGCACCTATGGATGGTTAACAGCAAGGATTCTTTTTTAACGTTTGTTTTTTAATAACCCATAAAGGATGTTATTTCTCTATTAACTTGATATGGTAAAATTCCATTTTTTTTTATTTACTTATAAGCAACAACATAATGAAAAAAATTCCTAGCAACCTTTTGTTGGTGCAACTGTTCTTTAATTTGAGCTTTCTTTCTGCGCTTGATGGCTGATTTTGTGGGAGACTCCTGGTCAGCAATTGATGTTGTACTGGTGTTCAAGTCCTCCATGCTTGATGCATCTTAACATTAATAAACAAACCAGTTATAAATACACAAACTTTAAAAAAAGATTTTATGCTATTTTAGACAAAAACACAATTTTTATCTGGTAAATCTCTGTTTTAGAGGTATTGATCTGAGCTCAGAAATCAAACCAGGCTATTTAACTCTAATTTGCTTTAATCATTCCCAAAATATGATTTCTTGTAGGGTGTTTGATAAAAGCCACTAAATGCCAAAAAAGGGATACTGTACCCCTTTTTTAAAGTGAATATAAAGAAAAAATATATAAGAGCAAAAATTAGTTTTAAAAAGTAAATACAATATGTATTTATTTGGTTTAATTTGAGACTAATAAACAAGTCACAGAATCAGCAAATTTAAAATTCTGATACTATCCTAAATGTTACTTTTATGTTTAGGATAGGCTAAGGATTGATATATGTACAATAAACTTGCTACAACAACTGTTCTGCTTATTTAGTTATACATTTTCAGAATGTTGATGGCAACATCAAATATTTGAAAGAAATCTGTTCTAGCATACAAAACCATGTTTCATTATGAATCAAAATCTATCCGTTAATTTTAACTCCTATATTGATCTGCAGAGCAATTTTTAAAGTAGCTTTTAGTCTGAATATTTATATGCCTAATCACACAGCAATTTCTTAAGTTAAAGATTAGATCTAGTCTTTTTTTTTCAAACATATAAGCATAGTTTTGGTTTAATTAAGAAAATGTATTAATTTTTTATGAGGAAGGGTGTATGTGGGTTGTCATTTTTAGACAGATTTTTAGCACACAAACCTGATGTTAGTAATTACGACAGATTTTTTGGCCAACATACAAATTGTTCTATTTGACTGACATTTATTGTGTTACCAAAGATAAAGACATCAAGACAAACTGGCCAAAGTAAATTTTACCAGCAGTTGACTGGGACAGTGGATCCTCCTGGACCTCTGACTGCAACTTTTCTTTCTGTTTCTTTTTCTCTTCTTTCAGCCTGGCTCTCTCTTCCTCCCTCTCCTTCCTTTTTGCTTCCATTTCTGCTCTTCTCTGCTGCCTTTTCAGGTATCTCTCTTCCTTTTCCTTTGCCTTGGTATTAAAAGAAATTCAACATAATACAATAATGCTTTTTTATGAAAATAGTTTTAAATAAACCGGGAGTGATCTCCCCTAAACTTTCTCGAATATTCTTATATAAAATAACAGGGGATGGGAACTCGGGCTATAGACATGATTTTAAATCCATTTTAAATACTTTAAGTTTTAAAAATAGAATAAAATCTTGTAGACAAATTAATTGCACACCAAGTGAACGCCAAATAAAAAAGCGCATAATGATGCGCAATATTATTAGTACTTTTAAAATTTACATTAGTTTTTTGAGAAATCGGAAGTAGCGTAAATTACTACTTCCAGTCAACGGAAATTACTCAAAATTTAACAGAAGGTAGAGAATTAGATCTTTTACTTACATGTGAAATTTCATTTATCTATCTGAAATAGTACTCAAGTTATAGGCTTTTGAAAAATTCAAAGTAGGAAAAGTACCACTTCCGGTTATCGGAAATCGCTCAAAAGTTGATACGGATCTACGATTTCGATAAAATACTTATATATGAAATTTCATCAACGTAGCTGTAACGGTACTCAAGTTATCGTGTTTACACACGGACAGACAGACACACAGACACACAGACAGACACACAGACATACGGACAAGATTGCAAAATTATGTTTTTCCGTATCAGTGAGGTGTAAAACGTCGAGATTTGTAAAAATCTCGATTTTTTTTTTTGCACGATTACAAGACTTTCTCTATACTACGTATATACGAGAAAGTAAAAACTCTCACCCTGTAAAAAGATAGTATTTTTATAGATGATGTTAATAACCTAAAATACTTTTAAGGACAAGAAGCTTATCAGATTTAGCTGCTGCTTCATATTGTTTAAACACACAGTCCCAAATTTAAATGTTATTTGTTGTTTTGGTAACTTAAGGAAATTTTTCACTCACAATTCTAGCCTTTCTTTCTTCTCTTGTCTCATCTTCTTCACTGTCACTGTACTTGTATGACAATGATATAAGCTTACGAGGTTTTACAGCTTCTGTGCTTTTTTCTTTGGATGGTGTTTTGCCAAGTTTACTCAACTTAACACTGGACTCTATCAAAGATACATATATTACATTGATCAACTTATGTACAAAAAACAGTTTAATGATCAGGTTATGGGCCAGGGTAAACATGTTTACAAACAAAAAAATTCTCTAACCTTCAGGGCAGACAGGTTTAGTATCAGGAGTTACTAAGGTTTCTTGTGTTACAGCAGATGTTTCAGTGCCACCCTCATTTATAACAAGTTTCTCTTCAAGTGGTTTCTCTTCCATTTCACTCAAAGACTCTGTCTCACGCTTAGCCTCAGAGTCTGCTGTTTCATCCCCATCTACAAAATGGACAAAATACCAAAATATTTTTTCTATGATTCTTTTTAATAAAGCAAAGGATGAAAAACAATCCATAACAATTGTTGGTTCTTATCCCTATTTTCTATAAACAAATATTTTAAAAAAACGGCAGCTCAGGGTTAGTTTTAAAGTTTGCAGTTTAAAGTATGGCTTTTATTGCTGATTCCTTTAACTCTACTGAAATATGAATATCGCTAATCAAGAAGAATGCACAAACAATTTACCTTTTCCGTCTTTCCCACTCTCTTTTGCTGTATCATTATCACTCAGATTCCCTTCATCACTTTCAATGTCACTAGATGAGGTGTCTTCAAAAGATGAAATGTCACTGGTGTGGATAGAACTGACTGTGACATCTGACAGTTCAGCTGGATCTTTGTCCACATCCCAAGCAAAATTGTACCTGTTTAAAAAAATTTTTTAATAAAAGCAAATAATTACCTAGTATTTTTTTGTATGAACAAAATAAAAATGCAATGTAGGTTAATACAAATAAATTTGTGTGTTACCTTCTTATAATAAACAGGTAAGAGAATTCACTTTATTAAATATATGACAATAATACTGATTTCATTTTCAGTGTATTCAACAGGGTGGTTATTATAATACTTTAACCAGTTGATCTCCGCATTTTTCTTTACACAACTATTAGATTATCATTTTTAATGTAATACCTGCCTTTAACATTTTTTAAAATATGAACAGCAGCAAAATATTTAAGAAACTTATATTTTAAAATCTTTTCTTTTTCCAATTATTTTTCAAATTAACTCAAAACTTATAACCTCAAAGAAGATGAAAAGATAGATAAAAAGATGCTGAAACAAAGAAAAATGAAACAAAGGGACAAACATTAAAGCCAACTTGATAAACTTTCAAGCAAAAACACATAGTTCTATTATTTCATGATTTATTGAGTAATGTTAAATTAAATGCAATAAATAACTTAAAATTTACATATTCAAATGGTCGATAAAAAAAAAACTCTCTTAATTAATATTTAAAGTTGATTGCTTCTTAAGTCATTTAGATAGAAGAACTACCTTAATCCGGAGCACAGCCGTAAAAATATATTTACATAATAACACAGGCCAACGTTTTTAAAAAAAAAGTATACCCTTCACCAAAAGAGAATAATTTGCCAAGTCCGCAAAGCTATTATCTTTCACAAAAAGAATTTTTTTTATTTTTTTTACAACTATAAACATAAATTAATTGAATATTTAACATTTAAAATGTAAAATTTAAAGTGCATAAACAGCAGCTGATTCCTTTTTAATAATTGAATATGATAATCGTAAACAATTATTTAGAGGCTGCATAAGCACTCGGCATCTTTAAATAAATAATTTCATTAACAGGCTTTGATAACGAAATTTCTTTTCTCACGAGGGGTTCCCATTTAAGAGTTGATTACTGCAAAAGAAATAAAGCTCCAGTGTTATATGACAAATTGGGAAGCAAGCCAAAAATGAACTTCACGGAATACTATACGAGAATTATTTCAGCAGCTTAATGTTTACGTTTTACATACAGCCAGCTATGACAAAAATGTTGCTTTCCATTCTTGTCTAAGATCACAGTTGATATTTTGGTATTTTTTGTAGACCCATCAAAATATTCCAAAAGTGTACAATCACTGAATTGATGGATTGTGACTATACATTTTTTTTTTACATTTTAGCTTATTATTTTATAAATCTAAAACAAGGACAGTAAATAACAATACCTTTTTCCTGGTTGACTAGTTGGTGGCTGTGCTTCTCCTTCTTTATCAGAATCTTCTGACAGCACAATCCCCTCCTTGTGTTTGTCTTCAGTTTCAGCAACAAGCATGTTGAAGGACTCTTCATCATCCGACACATCTTCAGCTGCCTGGAACACATCCATTAAATTATGCTTGGGTGGCAGCGGATCCTCCTGGGCCTTCTCTTCTGCTTTCCTCTTCTCTTCTTCCTTGTCACGTTCTGCTTTCAGCCTTTCAAACTCTTTCATTCTCTCTTTACGCTTTGCTGCTCTCAGCTCATGTTTAGTCATAGGTGCACCAGACTCTGCCATCATGGCTTCAGCTAGTACTCTAGGTGAGAACATGGTAGCAAGGTCAGCGCCAGGAGTTCCTTGAGCGTTATTGACAGTTTTTGTGATGAACGCAGCAGCTGTTTTGAACACAGCAATCTTCTCAGGAGTTAGGTCGTCTTTTGACACCTTGGACAATGTGTGTGAGATGAGAGCAGGTATGTTTGGCGTGGTGGGAACATTACTGCGAATCATAGGTGGAATCAAACCTGGAGGGGTGATAACTGGGACTGTACCTGGAGGGGGTGGGACTGATCCTGGAGGGGGTGGACGAATCAAAGGACCAACGTTGGATGGCATCACACCTGGCGGAGCTACTGGACTAGACTGAAGTGAAAGACCAGGAACACCAGGTGAAGATGTTATGCTTGACGATGAGCTCAGCAAAGGTGTGGAGGGTAGGCCTGGGGGTGGCTTGCTGAAGTCATGGATGTTTTGATTGGGTGTAGACTGACCAGGTCTTGGTGAAGTGTTGAATGGTGAGGAGTTGGAATTCATATTGCCGCCACCTGGAGAAAATGCAGGGATCATTGGCTGTCCAGGTATCATGGGCTGGTTGAAACCTTCCATGCCAGGCAAACCAGGTCCCCAAGGACCCATAAAAGAAAATGGTTGCATCATTCCACCAAAACCCATGCCAGGTGGATTAAAAGGCCCACCAGGATTTGAACCCATAGGACCTCCTGGCATCCCTCCAAGAAAATTGGGGTGACCTGGTGTTTGCGACCAAGGTAAGTCAGGTGTAGGTAATATCCCAGATCCCTGTGCAAAAGTATCTTCTGTAAGAGAAATCACATTAATTGGTATAAATAAAATTACATAGGAATTTAGCAAGCAATTCTATAAAACTTATTCTTGTACACATGAGATCATATAATTTCTGTACCAGCTTTAGCATTTTGGTTAATCTTTGGTATAAATAAAATTACATAGGAATTTTGCAAGCAATTCTATAAAACTTGTACACATAAGATAATATAATTTCCATACCAGCTTTAACATTTTGGTTGATCAAAGTCTGTAAATGTTGCTGTTGAAGATGCTGCTGCTGCAGCATAACCTGTTGCTGTTCCTGTTTTCTTCTATGCTGTTCTTCCTGTCTTGCTTTAAGGTCAATACCAAGATGATCACACACAGCTTCATCTATTTTAGGTTTTATACCCTGTTTTGAAAATTGTACTCATATAAGTTTTTCTCAAGTATCTGTATTTAACCTTATGTAATAATTATTGTTTATAAACAATGTGTACAATTATTTTAGTGTACCTGTAAAATTTTTGGATTAACAACTTGTTCTATAATACGGTCAACACCAATACTCATAACACCAGAACTGAAATTAAGAAATTTTAAACATAAATAAAATCCCTTTATGAAAAAACCTCAATACCCTGCCTTATCATTTATTGTTATCTATATACCCTGACTTCTACCATACTGGAACTAAAAGAGTTTTAATTTACTGTTAAATATTTTGTTTGAATTACTTTGTCAATTTATTTTATACAAATATTCTACAACTGAGATTATAAAAACTAGATGTTAACTTTGATAAGGTAGCAGATGGCAGAGATTGTAAGCAGGTTTGTGAGATTTTTAAGTGAATTTTTCAAATGGAAAAATAATTTAATGTTACTTACTATAAGAAATTTTAAAAATTATATTACTTAAATATGTGTTAATAATAACGAAGTGTCTACTCGGAAGAAGATTTTTCTCCCCAACGTCTCCACTTAGTCGGCAAAAGATAGCTCTGCGCATGCGCAGTGACCTATGGCTAGGGTTAGGGCTAGAATGAGGGTTAGGGTTTGGGATAGGGTTAGGGATAGGGTAAGGGTAAGGGTTAGGGCTAGGGTTAGGGATAGGATTAGGGCTAGGGTTAGGGATAGGGTTAAGGATAGGATTAGGGTTGGTGTTAGGGTTCTGCGGTTGTAAACACACGCATGCGCAGTACCATCGAAAACATCGCCGCTAAGGCAAGTCGTAGTTTCTCTCCATTGCGCATGCGTATCGCATGAGTGTCTTATTCCGGCTAGAATCACTTGCTTATCAGATGTTTAATTAGATAGAGTGTCAGGTGGCCGAGAATGTAAACAGGTTTGTGATTTTTAAGTGAATTTTTCAAATGGAAAAATAATTTCACATTACTATAAGAAATGTTTAAAATTATATTACTTAAATATGTGTTAGCAATAATTTATAATCACTTGCTTATCAGATGTTCAAAAGAACAGACAAAACATACTTATTAAGTTGTCGTCGTAGGGTCTCTCTTAATTGATTTTTGTTTGCACTAGAAGTCCATTTCTGGCTGTTTAGAAATCGTTCAACAAACTTTTCAACACGCTGAATTAAATTATGATATGCAGGCTGAAAATTTTCAAAAAAGTTAATTTAGTGGTTTTACTAACTAGAATAATGAATAAATTAAATTAAAATAGTAGGAGGGACTGAATAAATTGAAGATTTAAGTCAATTTAAGACACACAAAAAAACCTTCAAAAGCGTAGACCATGGAAGTAATTAATTGTGCTAAATATTAACATAAATTTATTTATTTAAAGTTTAGCTTTCAAGTTAAAGTTTACCTTGGTATCCACATCTGCTAGACACTCTTTTCTAAATTGATCAAACAAACCCTGTGACTTAACTTTGTTAATTACTTGCTGAATAGCTTCGTTATCTTTAGGGCTGTCTTCTAAATTTTCTTGCTCCATTGTTCAACAGATCTATAAAACAATGTGCAATACAATAAAGAGAGTCAAATCAGTCAAATGCGAAAGAAAAATATACAATAGCGGTTCATTCTTGGTCTTTTTCTTATGGAAGTCGCCATGTTGATACTTTGTTGGGTTGATCCATTTTTGAAAGGGGGGTTATAGCATTCTTACGGCTATGTCACCTCTTCGACTCATCTGGCGGGATGAAGTGACTGGGTAGTCTTGTGATGACACATTTAGACTTTCTAGTCTATAGATATAATAGACAAGACCATGTAGTAGAATAGGATAATGGGACTCGAAATATCGTCCAGCTAATATAGATGCACTGAGACATTGAGAAGTTTAATAAAATACTCTAATATTATGACCCCCGGTGATAACTACAGCCAAGGACTCCAGTGGGTAAGCTAGGCTAAAGTGTTTTGTCCTTGTGCGTACGTCAGTTTGGACAACACATCTGAATTGTTTTTCTTTCCTTTTTTTAATGCAGCTAGTTATTTTTTCTTGGTTTTGTCTTGATCTCCAGGCCCAGTGGCGTAGTAAGGTCGGGTATCACCCGGTGCTTTAATGGTGTCACCCCCAGAGGCGTAGCGACCCTTCCCGTGGACACAAACTTTCGATTTGCACCCCCCCCTCAAACTTTCGATTTGCACACCCCCCCCTCAAATGTTTCTCTATATATTTTGCTATTTTTGCCTTGGTGTCACCCCCCCCCCTAAATGGTGTCACCCGGTGCGGTCCGCACCCCCCCCCCTCGCTACGCCTCTGTCCAGGCCTACCCACTTTTATTTATGATAACGCTTTTTTTTAAGTAGAAGAGATCTAGATCTACCACAGTTTAATGATGCGATATGAAACCATTTTAGCCATAACGCCCGCGAAAAATAGCAACCGTCACACTTTTCTCCGTTTCCTTACTTACATAACTTAATATAAGGATCAAAGGCAGAGTTTATTCCAGGCATCTCTTCCGGTGGTAATTTCAAGTCCCCCCCCCCCCTCGGAGAAAAAAGTGGAAAAGAAACACTGTCCAGGATTGCCTTGGCCGGCATACTTTCCTCTAGCCCTGGGGATTCCTGTCTAACACCGCGTTTACACTTAAGACATATAGGCTAGGCCCCTATAGGCTTTCTATACATGTCTAGAAAAAAAAAAACCCGCTACAAATTAATTTTATACGGAACATGTATATTTACTTCTTGCTAAAAAAATTCTAGACATATATAGATCTAGTAGATAGCCATCCAATCCCAGCCTAGTACCAACGATGGAACAAATGGTAATATTTCGGCTTTAGACCACGATATGAGTGCAATGACATAGCTAGCCTAGAGAACATAGACTCTACCTCCCTGTGTGGATTGTACAGGAAGCACTTTGTTTACTTACGCCCGATTGTTTTTTTTTCATGCCTGCAACCAACTGAAATGTTCACACACGTCTAAAGAGGCTAAAGCGAAGGGAGTTAGATTGACCACTTGGCTAAAAATCTGCTGCTTTTATGTCTGTGTGAAATGTGATACTTATACTATCCACGAGTCTATAACATCCTTCGAAATAGCTTTTAAAAATAGTGTAATACCCAATAAAGGGTTCGTCCAAAAAAACTCATTAAAAAAATTGCTATTTGGGGAGAAATGTAACGTCACTTAAGGGAGAAAGGGAGAGTCTGTTACTCTGTCACGATGGGGAGGGCGAGGTAAAAATCATTTTTAAAGCGTGACGTCATAAATGGACGACCCCCCCCCCCCCCTAACCAGACCTGGAAATGTTGAAAATTTTTGAAGCCGATGTTAAGCCGCTTGCAGAAATTGTCCGGCGGAGAGGGTAGAGGAGAAAAATGGCTAAAATAACGAGTAACATACTAAATACACTCATACAAAAGTTAACTGAATTTATCAATCAGATCCTTATGCAGGTATTCGATGTAGGGGGAGTACGTACTTTTAGGGTAATGGCTATATGGTTATTGCCAGGTGTTCGGTTAGGGTTAGGATTTGGATATAGTTTGGGAAATTTTCAAGATGGAATTCGTTTATTTTACACTTCCGATGTCACTGGTATTCCATAGTACTATATAGACTATAATATAGACCTGCCATTTATATCGTACAACGCCAACTAATGGGAATTCTCGAGAAAGGTTGTTGTTAGAAGGGTATTGACAGAGATAATACATGGGGGCAGAGGCGTAGCGACCCCTCCCTCCTGGCGCCCGGGGACAAACTCCAAAGTATACGGTGGCGTGAGGGACAGGGGTGTGAACCTTATAAGGGACTCGAAAATTGTCTTAAAATTTATTTACATTAAATAAAAGTTATTTATGATTGTATTATTTAACCATTGGCCGAGTCAGTGGCGTAGCGAAGTCGGGTCTCACCCGATGCGGCACTTAATGGTGTCACCCCCCCCCCAGAGGCGTAGCGACCATTCTCGGGGACAAACTTTCAGTTTTCGATTTGCACACCCCCCCCCTCAAACTTTCGATTTGCACACCCCTCCCCCCTCAAACTTTCGATTTGCACCTCTTAAAACGATATTTAACACTCGAATTAATCACTTAATTAAGTGGAGTTATCATTTTACTCTATATATTTTGGCATTTTTTTGCCTTGGTGTCACCCCCCGAAATGGTGTCACCCGGTGCAGTCCGCACCCCCCCCCCCCCTCCCGCTACGCCTCTGGGTCGATTTCTATTTCTCCTACAGAGGCGTAGCGAGGGGGGGGGGCGGGGGGGGGGGGACATATGTCCCCGGGCGCCGACCTTAGGGGGGGCGCCAAATTGACAGTTTGAGGGGGGGTGCAAATGAAAAGTTCGAGGGGGGGGGTGCAAATCGAAAGTTTGAGGGGGGGGGTGCAAATGAAAAGTTCGAGGGGGGGTGCAAATCGAAAGTTTGAGGGGGGGGTGCAAATGAAAAGTTCGAGGGGGGGTGCAAATCGAAAATTTGCTCCCGAGGGGGGCGCCAAATTGAAAGTATGTCCCCGGGCGCCGGGAAGGGTCGCTACGCCTCTGTTCTCCTACATCAAACACGCTTTCGCCGGCAAAATACATGGGAGTCCATAGCTCGAGAAGCCCCTGCATAATATGTAGATCTAGTGGGCTTTCATGATGTACGCATCAGGGCTCAAACTACTTTAAAAAGGGCGCTCACTCTATACGTGAGCGACGGACGACCTGCAGACTTCAGACTTAGGGGTCATCCATAAATGACGTCACGCTTTTTTGGACGATTTTTACCCCCCCCCCCTCCCCCCCCGTCACACGTCGTCACAAAAAGCCAGACCCCCCCCCCCTAAAATGACGTCACATCTTAGCCTACAACCCCCCCCCCCCCCTCAAAATTGCTGTTGAATTTTTCTTAAAGCATCGATATTTTTCCAAAATCTTGTCTGAACTCTGTCAACATAGAGTATTTTGATCAATTCCTATTACAATTTATTAAAATAGTTTTCTAAAACGCGAAATAACGGCTAAAATTTGTTTTCTAACATTTCTTTTTTTAATGCAAAAGTGTGACGTCCCACCATCTGAACCCCCCCCCCCTCCCCCTCATCACACACCGTCACAAAATTACGGACCCCCTCCCTCCCCCCCCCCCCTACGAGTGTGACGTCAGTGTTTCTTCCAGACTTTTTTCTCCGGGGGTGGGGGCACTTGAAATTTTCGGGGTGGAGGTAGACTTTCTTTCGGGGGGGCGGACACTGTTAAAAGTATATATTTTCTATATAAATTATATAAATTTCATTTCGTTCGGGGGGGGGGGGTAAAAAAATTTCGGAAGAGATGCCTGGAAGAAACTCTGTGTGACGTCATTTATGGACGACCCCTTACGTGTCCTCCATGCACTCTACCGTATTCCAAGTAACTTGAACATCACTCCCGACATCACGCCAACTTGCAACGACCCCTTACTGCACTTAAAGGACGCCAGGGTTCTGCACACACTGGGTGCTGAACGCCCACAAGAAGTGGGTTTGTTTCTGGCACATACATACACACACAAACACACTGACAGCCTGGCAAGGCCGCCAACAGCAACTCTAGCAGCAGACTAAATAGGGCGCACTTTGACAAGCCATTTGTAAAGCATCCCAGGCAACACTAGTAGCATAGTTCATCTATAATTTACGGCCATTTACCGAGATGGACAGTTTCGTGAAACGTACGCCTTTACCCGTAATTGTAAGGGGGGGGGGTGGCTTTTTGTGACGATGTTTTGACAAAGGGGAGGAGTGGTAAATATCTACCCTATTCTATTTGTCAAAGGCCTTATATTCGTTCTAAAACCAACTTGCCCCCCCCCCCCCCGAAGAGATGCCTGGAAGAAACTCACTCTGATAGTGTATACTTAGATTCCCCACTATCTATCTATCATTTTATATATATATATATATATATATATATATATATATATATATATATATATATATATATATATATATATATATATATATATATATGCATTACTACACCTTTCATCCGATCGCCATGTTCAAATTCGCCAGGCACCCCGGTAGGACGAGATTCGATTCTTCTCTACATATGGTATTTAAAAAAAAAAGTCGTATGTGGTTCGACACCGTTCAACCGAGTGTCATGAAACTTTGGGGAGTTGATTAGAACAATCCAGGGAAGGGTTCTACGGGGAAAAAAATAATTCAGTTTCGCAGGGTGCGATTTAGTCCCCCGGCGTTTCACGTGAGCGCTATGGTGCCCACGTTCGTTTTAAACGGTGAGATAGACTATGGATAAGATGGGACGTTATAGTCATTCACAAAAAGTGTGCACACCGGCAGTGTGCAATTTGGCGCCCCGGGCTATCCCTTGAGCTATGGCGCATACCTTCGTCTAAAAAAAGTGTGATAGAATATAGATAAAAAGTAGTATTATAGTCGTTCACTAAATTGAATCAGGCGCGTCAGCACGCGCACCGGCAGGGTGCGACTTGCTCCGGGCTATCCTCGGACTTTTTTCTAACCCCTCGGCAACGCGCGGGGACGGGAACGCTAGTTTTCTATAAAATATTAAAATAGCTCGACTGTAGGCCTAGATCTAAAGACCTATGTGTAGGACAAGTATACTAGTATAATAAAACAGCCCATATAAGCTTCGACTAAATAAGACCAATAAATCCTAAGGCCTATTTTACAAGCTCTAATACTAGTCTAATAGCGGCCTAAGTTTGTGTGACCTTTTTTAAAATATTAGGTTCTAGAGACTAGATCTAGCCTATAATAAAATTCTAAATCTGTATTGGTTTAGTCTTATTTTTACATTTAACTTATATAATGACCGCATTTATATGTTTCATGTGTCATTCAATTGGTGATTTTTTAAAAAAAACTACTTTTATTTCAGAATATTTTTTAATGGACAAAGTGAATTATGTCGCACTACCCAAAACGTTGAAATGGACTGATCCTACACGATCGCTAAATGTGTTGAATAACACGTGAAAGGTCACAATATGGCGGATATAGCTGTGTTGTAAAGTTCAAAAAACCTTGCCTGTTGCAAACCAGGCCTTAAAAATTTATATAGGGCCTAGTTCGGACAGAAGAATCTGACTTTTACAATTGTTTCGGCAGCTGCTTCAGTTGCTCATCTTTTTATTTACATTTTCGATATACAGTTGTTAGAAAATGGACGAAGAAGAGAACCCATATGAAACACTTGGTGTTTCTACCACAATGACGACACATATGCTGGCCGGCGCTGCTGCGGGAGTTATGGAACACTCCGTCATGTATCCAATAGATTGTGTAAAGGTGAGAACATCTAGCTTTCTAGCTACGAAATGTCGATCTACTTAATATCTAGATCTATAGCCCTTTTATTTCTAGAATCTAGACTCCTACTCCTAGACTATCACGATGTATTCTGGTCAGTTATCAGTACAACAGTACCAGTAGGCCTAGAATCTATAGATCTAGATCTAGATTCTAGATCTGTACTAACTAGCTAGATCTAGATTAGTAGTACTACACCACAGTGAGTCAGCATTATCACAGTTCACAGTAAGTGAATCACTGATCAGTCAGTGTTGTAGTAAAGTAATGTAATTCAGTGATCACTAATGATTAGGCCCTAATGATTGAATCCTAAGTATTAAGTAATGATCTAATTATTGTAATTAATCCTGACCTAATTAACAAAATCTAAAGGGGAATGCACATATTTCTGGCTAATGACTAATGTCGTTGCTAACCCTGTCCCTAACTATCAATTTTGCGCCCCTTCCCCCATATTTATATATTTATTCACGTTAGCAAAAAAGGACCCCTCACCACACACACACATCAGTCACCGTTAATAGTTTTTCCCATATCTCACAAGCAACGTAGAACGCTGTCCATAGAACTAACTAGCTTTCTATTTTCGGATATTTAGAATCGACCCTTTGAATCCTGGACAGATCGCCCCCCTTCCGACGTGACCTCTGCCTAACCCAAACCCTAGTCCTACCATACTCTTAACCCTCATTTCTAACCATAAAATTAGTTGAGATTACAGTACTGCTAACAACCAAACACACCTATTTTATGGAAGTGTCTATTATCAGCCATCTGTATCTAAAATCATCCAATCTAAGGACTAATGACAGATCAGTTTTTGACCCATAGTTCAATCTAGATTTTAAATCTACACCTGTGTTAATAAAAATTGATTCTAAATGCTAGATTATAAAATAAATTAGGTCATTTAATATAGGGCTTAGTTATAGTTATAGAGATCCAACCTTCCACAAACTAGTGTCCACCAAAAGAATCTCTCTAGACTTGTTTTGGTCGTTGTGGACTCCTTGAACAATTTTTTTGAATTAGTAGACCTAAGACTAAGTACTGTAGTAGTAAGTAAAGTATTAAGTGATATTTTAGCCTTGTGAAAATACACTGGTGCCTAGACAGCGACTGCCCTAACAAAATAATTTTTGACATACAAGTGGTTGGGCAAGTGAAACACGAGAAATTTTTTAGATTATTGTGTCGGATTACATTCTTCCTCTTTACTCTACATATGAGAGAGTAAAAATTTATCCTATGTAATTTTAGCCTTGATCTATTATCATAGTAGAATGTAATAGCCACGAATAATTAACAAATCCTATTAATTAATACTTTACTTACCGTCCCGTACATCTGATAAATATTCTTAAGGGGTTTCTTTTGTAAAAAATAGGTTATTACTGCAAAAGTTACTTCAGTCATTACCTTTAGTATTTTCCAAGGACATACATGTTACAATTGAAGCTAAAGATTCCATTTTAAATGTCTTGTTACTCAGTTATTAATTGGTCAGGGCTTTAAAGCTGGTGGCAACTAAACTGAGAAGTCTCTAAGGATGAGGCTGGGTTGATGGGGACAGCATCTTTTCTAGGAGAGAAAACTCCAAAATCAAATAACTGCTGCCTTGTAGCTAATTCTTAGATTAACAAGCTACTTAAGCAAATCCAGAAAGATTAGCAGAATGAAATCAGAGTCAACAGCCGATATGGTGCATAACTTGCTGATATATAATACTTACTTGTGTTGGAAGTTATCCCGTCCAACATTACAATTTAGAATTGTATTTAAAGTTCCTCTTTATACATAGGATCAATTGGAGTTCATGTTTCTTTACCTCGGCATAAAGAAGTATTTTATCACTTGATTTTAATTTAATGCCTTAAATAACTTCACAATTTGACCATTTGATTTTCAGACAAGAATGCAGTGTTTGGTACCTGACCCTAAAGCTGACTACAGAAGTGTAGTAGATGCCTTGAATAAAATAGTTCGTCATGAGGGAATACGCAATACTGTACGGGGTTTTAGTGCTATGGCAGTCGGGGCTGGTCCCGCTCATGCTTTGTACTTTGCTTGTTATGAAAAGGTGAAGCAAGTTTTAAGTGGAGGAAAACAAGGAAATCATTTTGCACATGGTACATTTCTAATCATATTTTTACTTTCCTCCTAAACCTTGTATGTGCATATTATAATATTAGTATTGTGTATGTACTATAATTTTTAGATAGAAGTTTAGTGACTCAGTCAGATAAACCATTTAGTTTTCTAAAAGAGGCCAAATTTTTATAAACATTGCTTCAACAATTTTTTTAAATTTCATGCTGTAATGAAAAAAACTAAATGTTATTACAGGCTGTGCTGGATGCACTGCAACACTTCTCCATGATGCCATAATGAATCCAGCTGATGGTATGTTGTTTTTACATTTTGTTAATGTGTGGGTATTTTATTTATTTTTTGTAAAAAAAAAGTATTTGTCAAAAGAAATTATAAACAAAAGTATATAATTGTCATTGGCCGAAATTAATTATATAGGTTATGTATTTAATCGTTTGAATTGTGGGGGGGGGGGGGGGGTGTGTGTGGTTATACCTTTTTTAAGGCCATATAAATTTTAATTGTTCATGCGCTTTTGGTTGGCAAATATAAGGCACAACTTGCATTTTTTTCAATAGACCTAAACTGAAAACAATACGAGATGACCTAATTATTATTGTTGCGGCACTATTTTTTGTACTTAAATATCATTTCTACATAGGTCAGCACACTTTTATTGTAATGCCCTAACCTTTTTACAAGCTTTTATTTAGTTTGCAACATTTGTTTGTTTTCTTTGTGGCTAAACTGTTAAAGATCCCACGAGTGACCAAAGCTTTTTATTGAAGAGAGTTAATTTGTTTTATTTTAATATTTTCAGTGAATTTAAAAGCTTGTTGCTATAAAGGTTTTTTATATTTGTTATAACAATGTTAAGCCATAGACCTATTGAATAAAACAATAATTTAAATATAAGCTAATAGTGGTCAAAGTTCAGGGATGTGACGTTTCCGAATTTTAGCGGAAATCTGATTTTTCCGTTTCAGTTGCGATTTTCCTCCGCTGATTTAATTTTCGCCGAATTTTTCCGCCGACTTTCGATTTTTGTCGATTTTTTTACGAAGTTTTAAAAATTAGGAAAAAAACGGAAATGTCTTCTACGGAAAGGGCCGACATGCTCATTCCACTTATTCGTATTTAAATTTAAATCGACAACTACTGTACTTAGGTCAAACGGACACTCGAATATGCGCATTTCTTTTCGATTGGTCGATTGCGCTAGGTCTGACGGTGCTAGATCAAGATTAAATGTAGATTAAGATTCGAAATTTCGGCGGCCTTACGAAATTTTCAAAGCACAATTTTTTAGTCCAAATTTCCCGCTGATATTTTCAGTTAACTATTTATCAAAAACACGGGAAAAGGTAATCTAAAATAATGCAGTTATTCAAATGAAACTTACATCTCTTAAGCCTGATAATCTAGATATCGATATAGCCTAATATATCTAACGGTATTTTAACCCGCCTAAATCTACAGTTTCTCTCTGATTCTATTTTATTTCGCAATCTCAAATTAATATCCTTGCAAAAGGTGACTACGAGGACTAGACTAACCCGCCCCACCTCCTAGCAATGGTGGCTCTTGTGACCTCACCTTGACCCCAAGTACGTGTTCGGTACCGCTTGTTGAAAAAAAATGACGTCACAGTCAATTTCAAATAGCTGTTCCTGCAATACGTATGTTTCGTGGGCTTACAGATTAAAAAAAATACTAAACTCAATGTGACTTCGACCGTGTCTTGTTTGTGGAAGAAAAAATACATACAGGCTGTTTTTAAATTTTTAATAAGGGGTCTTCCATTAATAACGTCACACTCGTAAGATAGTGTAACGTCATATTTTTGTATTTTAAAAAAAAGTAATGTTAGAAACAACTGCATTTTAGCCGCTATTACGCGTTTTGGAAAACTTGTAAAACATTGTAATAGAAATTGAATAAAATACCCTATGTTGGTCGACCTCAGTCAATATTTTAGAAAAAAATCGATGTTAAAAAAAATTCAGTTCGAGGGGGGTGGGGGGGGGGGGGGCATTTGTTGGCTGAGGTGTGACGTCATTATAGGGGTGGGGGAGTCTGGCTTTTGTAGGAGAGAGGGGAGGTAAATATCGTCAAAAAAAACGCGGATGACCCCTAACAATTCCAAAAAATCAAATATCGATGTGGCTTGGCTATCAAAATGATTAACTTTGGTTCACACGTCAGACCCTTTCTAATTTTAGCTAACCTGGTCCATTTCATTTTTCCATCACATGAACCTAAAACTTTCAAATTGTAACTAATCTTAATCTAGGGTCTTTACAGTTGAAGGCAAATATTTTTACCAATCCAATCTTTAAAAGAATATACGGCATTAGGTCCCTATTTAAAATTGAAAACAGGAGTACATCTAGAATCTACACTAGATTAGTGCAGTTTAAATTAGCTTAGTGGTAAAATAAAACTTGATTGCTACTTTTGTTACATTGTAATTTTTAAAAACTTGTTTATAAGGTAAACATTAAATTGCAATTAGACAAGACTTTCAATGTAATTTTAGAGCAGGGGTCTCCAAACTACGGCCCGCGGAGATCTTTTTGTCCAAGGAAAAATTGTTTGTTGGTGATGATGAGGAACTTTGCGCAGAAAAATCAAAGATATGCCTTTAAGAAACTGGCCCCCGAACTGAAATTTTATAGTTAATGCGGCCCCTGGACTGAAAAGTTTGGAGACCCCTGTTTTAGAGTAACATAAACTTCTTGTATTTAAAATATTAACTTCATTAAACAATTAATTAGTACAGTAACAGTATGAAGCTGCTTAACTGCGGTATAAAGCTGCTTAACTGCCATAAAAAGTAGATAAACATATTGAGTTATTTCCGAAGAAAATTTCCTAATTTTTTTTCCTGATCTGGTCACATCCCTGAAAGTTAGAGTATTGTGCTGGTCGAAGTTAGACCAGTTAAAACCAAACAGAAATAGTGGGGTTACATATAGAATACACATAGAATTATATTCTCCATTCTGACTGGTTAACTATTTATACTTAACAAATCAGCTGAGTTTAACGATTTTTTAATAGTGAAAAAATGAAACTTTATGTTGATTAGCTTATTAGATATAACGAAGATAAGCAGAGCCACAGGTTGGACGAAAACGAATCTGTCGAAGTTTATGCAGTCTTCTAAAAGAAAAGTTTGACAATATACAATCAAAGATTCAGCTATGAAACTTGATTTTTTTCTTAGTGTTATTTAAATTATTTAGATCTTTTGAATTTGTACAGTTTAAACAAAATGAAATGCTTAATCCACACTAAGTTTAACTAAACCACTTATATTGTATTTGTTTTTATAAGCTAAACATTTTTATTAAATTTCCAGTGGTGAAACAGAGGATGCAGATTTATGGAAGTCCCTACCAGTCAACCTTGATATGTTTCCGTGAGATCTTGAGGACAGAGGGAATTGGAGCCTTCTACAGAAGTTACACAACACAACTGACAATGAACATCCCTTTCCAAGCTATTCAGTTCATTACCTACGAAGTTGTTCAAGATTATTTAAACAAAGAGCGAGCCTATGATCCAGGCTCTCACATAGCTGCAGGGGCGCTGGCTGGCGCGGTGGCTGCTGCCACAACAATGCCATTAGATGTGTGCAAAACTCTCCTAAACACACAAGAACACTGTGCCAGAAATCACTTGACTTACATAAATGGCATGGCATCTGCCTTTCGGACTATATATGAATTTTGTGGTATATCTGGGTTCTTTAGAGGACTTCAGGCACGAGTCATTTACCAAATGCCTTCAACTGCAATATCATGGTCAGTGTACGAGTTCTTCAAGTATATTATTCACAAAAGAAAGCAACAGTCATCTGAAGATAGGTACATTGGGCCTGCTGTTCGTATTGCAGCAGCTACTTCAAGGTGAATTGACCAATAATTAGGAGTTTATCAGGTTTGATAGCTTTATTTATGATTTAAGACTTATAAAGTTTAATTTATTTCTGACTTTTGTAATATATAGAACATTAGACAAATTCTCTTCTACATAGTAGTATTAGAATCACCAACTGTGGAGTGTGTTTTCTCATTGTTTCAGCTGATTAAAAATTCTTAAATTATACAAATAGTTCCCTCTTGTTTCCTGGTACTGCCTCTAAAAAATTTTACTTTATTCTTATACAAGTTGATAGTTTTGATATGTTCATTTCACATCATTTTTTGTTTGAATGTTTTGTTATATAATTACAATCTTGTGAAGTTGAAGTAGGGAAGCATTAGCTCTGAGCTTTTAGGGAGTTTAACTGAATAGAAATTTTAACATAAAGTAGCCTACTGAAATATTACAGATTTAGACTGGAGTTTGGACATGGGCAACTTTAAAATCAAAATTAGAATAATTTTTAAGTAGGTTATTGTTGCTTGAGAAATTTGTTAATGTTAATGCTTAATTTATAACATTTACTTCTCTGCTTGAAACACTTTGCAACACTCTGTTCTGGTCAGCTGTAATGAACAATGAATTTCTCAGTGCAAATTAAAAATTCATGATTTGAAAGGATTAAAGTTGATCTTTTTTATAGCCTGCAGCAAAAATGTATTTAGGTCAAATCTCCCTACTTACCTCCCTGACCTCTTCATCTATAACTTGCTTAACATTCTCTATTCTCTGTACATTCTGTATTGTCTGTACATTCTCTATTCTCTGTACATTCTGTATTCTCTGTACATTCTGTATTCTCTGTACATTCTGTATTGTCTGTACATTCTCTATTCTCTGTACATTCTCTATTGTCTGTACATTCTCTATTCTCTGTACATTCTGTATTGTCTGTACATTCTCTATTCTCTGTACATTCTGTATTCTCTGTACATTCTCTATTCTCTGTACATTCTGTATTCTCTGTACATTCTGTATTCTCTGTACATTCTGTATTCTCTGTACATTCTGTATTCTCTGTACATTCTGTATTCTCTGTACATTCTGTATTCTCTGTACATTCTGTATTCTCTGTACATTCTCTATTCTCTGTACATTCTGTATTCTCTGTACATTCTGTATTCTCTGTACATTCTGTATTCTCTGTACATTCTGTATTCTCTGTACATTCTGTATTCTTTATACATTCTCTATTCTCTGTACATTCTGTATTCTCTGTACATTCTGTATTGTCTGTACATTCTGTATTCTCTGTACATTCTGTATTGTCTGTTTGAAAATCTATTAAATGTATTAAGTGTTGTTTTCATTTTAACTTATAATTTAATGAAAACAGTCACCGCAGCCAGAAAGGTTTTTGTTTAAGTATTAAAACGACCAATTACAATGATTAAATTAGTTAAAATTCTTTTTTTTAAATTGTTTATTAGCTACCCTACATATAAAATTTTTCTTTGATTTGAATCCGATTTTATTAAATGATTTGTGTTTTTGCTTATAATTAAGGCTCCAGGTTTATAAACATTTGTAACAGTTACATTACTTGTTTGTCTCCTAGTATTTAAAAAACACAAAATTGCGTTAAGTTATCCAAACTGTTTATTCTTTTTTTATTCCAGCACACCTCGCAGATAACTAAGCGTGAATGGAGGGGGCAGTGAATGGTCTGCTGTGAAGGAAATAGTCATCTTCCTGTGTGTTTGTGCTGTGATCTGATATCAACATTCATTTGAAGCATTTTAATCATTACTATCAAATAGTTACTTGTGTCAGGTAGAGATTCTTATAAATATAACAACAAAAAAGAATAGTTCAGTTTTGGTTCAATATATTTTTCTAATTAGGATATTTTCTCTAAATCAAACAACCTGTGATAATTGTTCCAAGGAAATGTATCATTGGTTAGGGAATCTGTTTGATACAAATTTAATGTGTCTCAACATTTATACTGATGGCATGTATTGATTATCTGTTTAACATTAATCATTTGCATTCTGTTGTGTTTTATCAAATATTTAGATGCATATTTTAGTATTGCAATATGTGTAATATTATAGTGCATATGTCTATCATTGTTATTTTCAATCTTGAAAAATTGGTATAAATTTTAGGTGCATATGGTTATCATTGTTATTGTAAGTATTGAAGGATCAGTTGAATTTAGTGCATATTAATATAATTGTCTTATTATTGATGAATGGGTAGAATTTTAGGCAAATATGACTATCATTATCATAATAAATAGTGTTCTTATTGAAAAATAGGTTGAATTGAGTGCATATGACTGAATAATCATGTTATTATTGATAAGTGGGTAGAACTTTAGGCGTATATGATTATTATGTTAAAGAATGGGTAGGTGCATATGACTATCATTATTGTTTTCTTAATACATATGACTATCATAATTTTATTACTGAAGAGTGTTGAATTTTAGGTGGATGTGGCTATCATTGTGTTAGTTTTGAAGAGTGGGTAGGATTTGAATCTTTCTAAAGCAGGTTGTGATGAGAGATCATGTTGATTGAAAAGAAACCTAAGCTGGCTCCAACCAATGACCAGTCTTTGGCTGCTTGTCCAATGCTGTTAAAAACAATAGTTCTAGATTTATAAGGCCTACATTTTTTAAAAAGTGTATATATCTGGTATGTAAATTTGTACATTGATATGAAAACTCTCAAACATTTTTAATATAACATAAATTTTTTGGTTAAATTTAGTTAAGAATTTGTCAAAATTTTGTTGATATGGTAATTAAAATACATAGCGATACTTTTTAAAAAAATATTACAACAAATAATGTGAGGCTGAAAACTATTTTTAAAAATACAAGTGATGTTCGCAATGGAAATGTACATGTATAAAGTTGGTGGATATTCAGGTCCCAAGGTTTCAGTTTCATACATTCATTAAGATTTAGTTCTCTAAAATTTGTTATTCTTTTTTCAGCGCTGTTAATGTTTGATGAAATTGATCTGATCAAAAGTAAGAAAGGTGAAAATGTCCACTTTTAAACATGTGCGTCACATGTCATGGATTTTACTTCTGTGAAGTAAACATCTTGTTAAAAGCATGAGTCATGTTGCATTGCTAGAGGGTATTTGCCAAAAGCATGATTCATGTTGGATTGCTAGAGGGTATTTGGTTTGTTATGGCTGTATCAGATGTTCAATGTCTTGCAGGAAATTTTCTTTCTTGCAATGTTGCACATGTATTATCAGAAACCTGAGTTCAGGTCCTACCTCTTCATCAAAGGGAGTAATAGAATATTTTTTTTAAGTTAGTTGCAAAACAAAAGATCAAGCAACATTTAGAAATTAACACTAATGTACCAGTTTTTTTAAGCCATTGAGAAAGTAATGTGTACCAATAGCTGTATAATAATGAAAAAGCAAATTAATTTTTAAGTGAGTAAACAAAGTACCAAAAAAATTGTGTACAACCATCAAAAGAAGAGCAAGTTGTTGTTAATCATCAATATCTGTCAACATGCCTGTTGGTCTCAGTCATAGACTTTTAAGGGAGATATAGTTAACTGACCTGTCAACATGCCAGTGGTCTCAGTCATAGACAACTAATAAGGGAGATTTAGTTAACTGACCTGTCAACATGCCAGCGGTCTCAGTCATAGACAACTAATAAGGGAGATTTAGTTAACTGACCTGTCAACATGCCAGCGGTCTCAGTCATAGACTAATAAGGGAGATATAGTTAACTGACAAATGTAAGCCTAATAAGAGAAATAGTTAACTGACAAATGTAAGAGCAGTGTTTGGCCACATCCTGGGATTACAGTTTTGTTACTAAATGTATGCAATCTAAAGTGTCTTTATTTTACCATCAGCTGAAATCCCAGTGATAGAGAAACATCCATGTGGCTTGCTTTTTTTTTTTTTTACTTGTCAAATGAAGAACATTTACAAGTTTCTGTACATTGGTTGTTTTTTTTTTTTTGTATCTTTATATGGTGGACATGACTGTTCTTTATTAGATTATTTTTAGTTTTTAAAATGTTGAGTTTTGGAATACAATTTTTTTAAAGTGCATCATTCACCCAAATATGTAATGACAACTTATTTGACGTTGTTAAAGAAGAGTGAAACTATTTTCCTCCTACTTACCATATTGGGCTTTCTCAAAGTATAAAAAATGTGTCAAAATCAATATTGTTACATATAGGTTCATTTTGTCCAAAAATTTGTATCATTCTGCATCTTTCAGAAATGATACAAGTTTAGGCATGTCATTATAAGGTTAGAATCTTGATAACTTGAGCAAAGCTATTGTTTAAACTTGTTGAGAAAAACTATTTTTTAATTGACTTAAAACATGTCTCACCTCATAAAGCTACTAAGGTATTTTTTTCTTTCAAATTTATAGAAACCTTGTCAGATTTGAAAATCTACAAGCATTTGTACATTGTAGGTCAGTTGGTTATAAGCAGAACAATTTAGATAGAATGACTCCAGAATTATTTTACTTGACATTTGTGTAACCTATAGGTCTGCTAAAGATTTTACAGTCCTCCACTCCTTGGCTTGTCCAAGTCCTCTAGTCCTGATATACTTTGTCCTAAAAGCCTAGTGTAAAGGGATGACATTGGTCAGGTGTCATTGGTCGGATGACATTTGTCAGATGTCAGTGGAGACACCTTTAGGTTACGCACATGTCATTTTGCATGTTGATTTTTGTTGGTGATGATTTTATAATCCATGCTTCAATTATGGCTTTTTTCTGTTTTGTCTATGCTATAAAGATTTGTCAGGTTACAAAAGCCTACAAATGATTGTACAAACTCTGACTTACTCTCCCACCTAACTGGAAAATGAGCTCTTATATTTAGCTGTAGCTCTCGTTTTGTATCCTTTTAATATTCAAACTTGTCAAACAGAGAACGTTTACAAGTTATTGTAAATTTGATTTTTTTTATCTTTAAAAAAAAAAATCTTTGATAAGCAGACAATCTTTTGATTAATATGGTGAAATGGATAGAAATAACTTAACGAAATCTGGAGGGAAAAAAAAGCAACTTTGTTCCAGCCATAATTTATGTAGTCTAATTAAAGTTTTTAGGTAAATGTGGAAGTGCTAATTACTGCTAGCATGATTATTTTAAAATGTATGATTAATATTGGCAGTTTTTTGTCAGGTTGCCAGGGAGGGGGTTTGGGGGGGATAACCCAAAAATTGTTTTGGTTTCATGTCAAATTGAGGAGGTTTACATGGAATCTCATTGATAATGTGATATCTGAACACATCATAATGTACACAAAATACTTGTTCATCTCTCACATTCTCCAGCAATCTGAGGCATTATCTTTGTGAATAAGCTAGTTAAATCCAGTCTGTCAAGATATTTATTACAATGTACATTATATATAAGAAATAAAGGATACTCAAATGTATTGCTTGAGGCGTAGTTGTTGTTATCATGAAGCTCATAAACAAATATCTTGCCTTCTTGCACAATGTTTAGGTCATTGTTAGATTTAGATGAGATATGTGAAATAAAAACTATCATAGTTATGAACTGTCCTTGCAGTCTGTGTGTAATACTTGATGCCCACCTTGTTCACATAGTGTGGATAAAATTGTTCATATTTTTACCCCAGTTCTGTTCAGAAATTATACACTCAACAATTTTGATGTTTAATTCTAAAAGTTGTTAATTCTAAATGTAAGTTGAGTTTTATAACTTGTGGCTAGATTCACACATAATCCAGTGGGGTAGCCTGTTGAAAGCAAAGAATAAAAAGCAAAAAACTGTATGAGTCAAACAGGTTTGCAGTATTCCTCTGTAAACCATCAACTGAATCTTGTTACTTTTAGAAAAGACATGACATAACATAACTTGTTATAAAATACAAATATTTTCAACTCATCAGTAACCAAGTCAGGTTAAAACGTTCAGATGTCATGTCAGCCTTATATTCAGACATATTGTTCATATTTGATACATAGATTGGGTAGGGGTGTATGAATTACAGGGTTCTAAGAAAAGCAGTTTCTATTTACTGTTTTACAAACTGAAGGATGGACACAGTTTCTGCTTTTGTAAATAAACAATTTCTATTAACTCATAAAACGTTGGTGTTTTTTTCTTCTTGTTTTTTTTGTTGTTGGTCTCCAGGCTTAAAATCTGAATGTGTTTGTAGTAATGTCCATTTGAAGTTGACGGGCTGTTACATGAATGGTGACATAGTGATACAAGACAAAAAAGTATCTACATAACAAGCATGTTAAACCTGTATTAAACATCTAAAGGTCCATCGCATTGTTGCATGAAAATCTTCCTAAAATAAACGTAGAATAGCGAACCTTCCATTACTTGAAGTCAACGACACTATTGCAGCAAATAGTTTTATCCTATGGGGCCTGACAGAGTTCAGCTCCAGAAATCTCTAGCCTACGTGTTCCATTCGGGGCGTATCTAGGTTGAGTAGTGGCCAACATGACACCACAAAAACAGAAATGATCGATTCAAATAGTTTGAAATTAGCAGTGGAGTGGCTGAACACGTGTTACACGATCAGTTTGTTTTTACGATTCGATACGTCATGTTTTTTGTGGCTACGGTTACGTTATGTGCAATGAAGAAATCGTTCATATAACAGTACATTGGGGGGGGGGGTGCAGTGCCTAAAGAATGTATACCCCTCCCCAACGAAAAAAAATGTATATAGAAAATATATACTTTTACAAGTGTCGTCGGCGTCCAGTTCTCCACACCCCCCCCCCCTTCCCCGGAATATTTAGTGCTATAACTATAACGACTGGACCAGTAGCGTAGCGTATCCAGTGTCCACACGACCTGATATTAAAGGACAGTTTTCACTAACACATTTTTTATCATTCAAATTAAGTTACAATTTGAGGCAATCTCTGATATGTTCGATAGATCAAACCCTAAAGTGGATATAGCCTACACATACATTTCAGTTAATGAATATTACAAACATATAAACCCAGTGGCGTAGCGAGGTCGGGTGTCACCCGGTGCGGCACTTAATGGTGTCACCCCCCCCCCAGGCGTAGCGACTCTTCCCGGGGACAAAATTTCAAATTTCGATTTGCACCCCCCCCCCCCTCAAATTTTTCTCTATATATTTTACTATTTTTTGCCTTGGTGTCACCCCCCTAAATGGTGTCACCCGGTGCGGTCCGCACCCCCCCCCCCCCCCTCGCTATGCCTCTGTATAAACCCATCAGTATCAATATCAATAATGTACTCAATCACAATCCCTAACCCTAACCTAACATTCCGAAGTATAATTATTACGATACTTGTTTGTGTGAATTTGGTTGATTTAATTATATATTGCATGTGGAGATATTGTATTATTATTTTTTGCAATGAATCGCTGGATATTTATTACTTCCCATTTATTAATCTTAATTTTAACAAAGGGAGACAACATTTAATTAGATTTCCTTACACACACACACACACACACACACACATTCCAACATACGCCATTAATATGTCCCGGGGACAAAATTTCAAATTTCGATTTGCACCCCCCCCCCCCTCAAATTTTTCTCTATATATTTTACTATTTTTTGCCTTGGTGTCACCCCCCTAAATGGTGTCACCCGGTGCGGTCCGCACCCCCCCCCCCCCCTCGCTACGCCTCTGTATAAACCCATCAGTATCAATATCAATAATGTACTCAATCACAATCCCTAACCCTAACCTAACATTCCGAAGTATAATTATTACGATACTTGTTTGTGTGAATTTGGTTGATTTAATTATATATTGCATGTGGAGATATTGTATTATTATTTTTTGCAATGAATCGCTGGATATTTATTACTTCCCATTTATTAATCTTAATTTTAACAAAGGGAGACAACATTTAATTAGATTTCCTTACACACACACACACACACACACACACATTCCAACATACGCCATTAATAAAGTTGTTAAAAACTAAAAACGTTGATTTTCTAACGCTTGTACACTTCGGGGATTGAATAGTTTCTGTTAAATATGCTATCTTTTGCTACACTTCACACAGGTGTTATCCACAATGTTTCATTCAGACTTTTTCCTGCGGGGTGAGGGGGGGGGAGGGGGGCGGACACTGGTAAAAGTATATATTTTCTATATACATTTTGTTTCGTAGGGTGGGTGGGGGCAGTAGTGCGCCCCCCCCCCACCTTTTCCCGAAGAAATGCCTGAAAGAAACTGGTTATCCAGTGTCCACACGACCTGATATTAAAGGACAGTTTTCACTAACACATTTTTTATCATTCAAATTAAGTTACAATTTGAGGCAATCTCTGATATGTTCGATAGATCAAACCCTAAAGTGGATATAGCCTACACATACATTTCAGTTAATGAATATTACAAACATATAAACCCAGTGGCGTAGCGAGGTCGGGTGTCACCCGGTGCGGCACTTAATGGTGTCACCCCCCCCCCCCAGGCGTAGCGACTCTTCCCGGGGACAAAATTTCAAATTTCGATTTGCACCCCCCCCCCCCTCAAATTTTTCTCTATATATTTTACTATTTTTTGCCTTGGTGTCACCCCCCTAAATGGTGTCACCCGGTGCGGTCCGCACCCCCCCCCCCCCCTCGCTACGCCTCTGTATAAACCCATCAGTATCAATATCAATAATGTACTCAATCACAATCCCTAACCCTAACCTAACATTCCGAAGTATAATTATTACGATACTTGTTTGTGTGAATTTGGTTGATTTAATTATATATTGCATGTGGAGATATTGTATTATTATTTTTTGCAATGAATCGCTGGATATTTATTACTTCCCATTTATTAATCTTAATTTTAACAAAGGGAGACAACATTTAATTAGATTTCCTAAGTCCGTTGAGGAACACACAAAGAGGATTACAGAGGGCATGTTATTAGTACCGCTTCTTTCCTTTTTTTTTTTTTTTTTTGATTATTATAAAAGCAAAATTAAAACAAAGTTCGATTGACCTATTTCGAAACAAAAAAAAAAAAACAACTAATATAATGTTTTTATCCCTCAAAGACGTTTTCAAAAAAAACCAGCCTTCATTAGCGCTGATAGTTTCTGTGCGTTTTTTAAGCAAAACGACCCCTGCCATAACTGTAGCACCCTCAACAATTTTCGTTCACACAACGCACACAATATCAAACTATCAAATTCGGTCGTTCTGCGCCAACTTGGCTTTTTCCATGAGGGGGTCAGTGATCAATAAGTTTATGTAGCCTAGGTCATATAATTAGGCCCCTATTTCTTTATTTATTGATTTATCCTGGTCGTCACCGACTAGTCAGCAGGCGCAAACAGAAAATAATTAATTATATTATTATTTTCATTAGGAAAATGACGTTTTAATTAAAAAATAATAAATAAATCACATTTATTATTGCGACCAGTTTCTCGGTCGATAAATTATGACTCACGTGGTTTTTGTTTAACTAAAACAAGAATTTGACATCACTAGGCCTATGGTAGAATTTTATTAAAGGCTCGTGTTTTTTGTTGTTTTTGTTTAGCCAAACACCGGGGCGTCCCAAAGACTTAACAGTGAGCTAGCCACAAGCACATGAGGCGGGGGCGGCGAAGCTTTAAGTTATTAATGAGCATAAGGCGTCTTGTTTGTGGATTGGAGGCTATTGCTAGATGTAAAGGCCGGTGATATCTGTGGATTAGAGGCTATTGCTAGATGTGATGCCGGTGAAAGTGTCTGTGGAATGGAGGCTATTGATAGATGTGAAGGTTGGTGATATGTGGATTAGGGGCTACTGATGGATGCGAAGGTTGGCGATAATATATGTGGATTGGAGGCTATTGATGGATGTGAAGGTTGGTGATAAGTGGATTAGGGGCTACTGATGGATGTGAAGGTTGGCGATGATATAAGTGGATTAGGAGCTACTTATGGATGTGAAGGTTGGCGATAATATAAGTGGATTATGGGCATTCAGATGGATGTGAAGGTTGGCGATAATATATGTGGATTGGAGGTTATTGATAGACGTGAAGGTTGGTGACAGGGTTGAGTTTTGTGAAGGCCGGTGATAATGTTGAAGGCCGGAATAGGGTTGAATATTGGGAAAGCCGATGATAGTGTTGACTATTGTGAAGGCCGATGAAAATATATTTAACTCCAAACACCAAGTTCACCGTGTCTGTCTAGAGAAGCCGAAATGCTACAGCATTAATAATTCAGTACATTTGTGTGCGGGGAGAACCAGTGCTATATTGACTAGCGCCGGTAGTGTCCATGACTTTAACACTTCCATTTTCTAAGGAATAGTCTATCGAACATTACCACTCACTTGGGTAATCATAGATTTGAGAATCAGGACCGCTCACTGTCTACAACACAGTAGGTACCATCTTCACACTGGTGTTGGGGAGGGACGGGGGTGGAGTGTACACTACCAGAACACGGCTAAGCAAAAAGACTACACAGAATGTAAACACGCTATGACCTCTAGTCTCAAGCAAACAAAAAAAAAAGGAACTGAATAATAATAATTTAAAAAAAAGAGTAAACATCGACTGGTCTTGAAAAATGATCTTTTTTATTTACAATTACATGACATCCCATTTCAATGCAAAGTTGAAAAGAGACATTTCACACATTCACATAACAGGGCCCTTGCTCATACTAGAAAACCAAGTCTCCAAAGTTGCATCCAAAGTGCAAAAGAATCAATTTTTTTTCCTCCAAATTTCAAAACTCAGATTACTACACCAAAAGTGTAAACATCTTTGGAGTTTAAAAAAAAATATTTGTTTAAAGCTAACCCGAAATACATTTTTTCCCCGATGCCACAAGGGTCCCTAAAAGAAGAACAAGACCAACAGACTATAGGACATATACTGCATATTTTGTGGATTCCTCCTGTCCAGTAATAGTACATGTACTTAAATGAGGTGGAAGGTACACCATGATCAAGCTGGTGCCTGAATGAGTCATACAATGGGTACACAACGAATGAAATGATGGCTCCAATCATGATAGAAAATGTGCATTGTGATAAAGTATCACACAAGTATCATATATTATAGTTAAATCATTTCAGTAGCATCAAATCTATTTACAGAGTTCAACAAAATATGCATGGGCCAAACACTAGTAAAGAACAATTTATCTGACTACCTTGCACATTTTTTTTTTCTATTTCAGCTCAACAACTACATGCTTATGAAAACTACACTGCCTTTATTTTCCTATAAGCAAAGTTACTTTTTCCCTCTTGAAAAAAAATCGGTTTTAAACTTTTCCTATAGATATGCATTAACTATAAATGGCGTATAATACATTGAGCTTCACATTTTAAAAATTAAAACTATAAGCAATTAATACTTTTAGCAAACTTATATAAAGGTTTTCTTTTAAAATAATAAACTTGCATTAATAATTTATTGAAAAAAGTTTAGAGATGATTTATTTGCAAAGCAGGGAACTTCACAACAATGTGTAATGGATGGGATAGGAGTGAATTGTTAACTTAGTTATACAAAACAACTGATTTTATTAATTTAACTCATTCCAAAGTGGTTTCAGGATAGAAATGAGGCACTCACTGAAATAAAATTGGGTAGTAATTTATCTAGTGATTATGAAAAGCCATTAAAATGACTGCCACTTCACATTTTGAAAGTGTAGTAATAAATAAACACAGGTTGTTTGCATGCCGTTTGATTTATACATAACCATCTTCTAGGGCAATATATTTGTTCTATTGTGCAAATCAATATAATTTATATTTAAAAAATGATGCTTAAATACTCAATATCTGAAGATATTTCTGATAGAGACTTGGAAACCAGTTTATTAGAGCTCATCCTATCTTTTCTTTCAAAATTTGGCTCACATCATCAAGAAGTTTTTCTCCTTATATTTTCAATATTCTTGCTACTGTATAGACCCAAGTTTTACAAAATTTCCAAACTGCTCCTACTGTATAAACAAACAAGTGTCAAAATTTATAAAAATTATGTTATCTTTATTCAATAGCTGATTACAGAACAACCCTGTAATGAAATGTTTCCTAAAGAGAAGATGAAATGACTATCATATAGTACCAGTAAGCACATCTCTATCTCCTTGCCTCAGAACAATCAATGAAACTGCTTTTTTTTGTTTTTTAAATCTCCACCATCAAAATACAAACCAGATTAATGTTCATATCAAATTTCTCACACCCTTTATCCAAGACACACAATGTCCAACAAAAAAAAATTCTCTGCATTAGAATCAACACCCCAAACCAACAACTTTGTACAGACAGTGTGCTCAGAGTTTGAGAATTTTCATATCAAAGGTGACTTTCATTCACGAGAATGTGAAAATAGACCAGCTCAATAAAATAACATGTTTTTTTTTCTACTAGAAGAAAGCATTCATATTAAAAATAATTTATGTATCCTAAATTAAATTTAAAAATTTTTAGATTCTGAACATGATAATTTTTATCTAATTTTTTTTTTAAAGAAAAAAAAATGCATTATAAAATTCTTTTATCACCATCAATACTGATAACAGTGTAGAAAGTCACTTTTTACAGAAAATTCTAACAATCTTATTATCAAACAATTACATGGAAATCATATTCATGACAAAGATACTATACAAAATCCTCCTAAAAAAATCCTATTATACATTATTTAACTTTATTTTTAGGAGATCCACATCAAAGCATACATTCAACTAATGACAAAAAAAAAACTTTTTTTTTGGAGGGGAGGGAGGGTTACAATCTCACTGACTAACAGCTTGACAAACACATTAATGAAACAAATTCTGTCTTAGACCATGGTTGAAATCATACACAGAGCATTAACTTACTGTTCATGTACAAAAAAAAAACTTGGCATTAAAAGAGAACATACATGGGATAGTACAATGAATGAACCTCTAAAGCAAATCAGTAGGCACAAACTCTTTCAGTTTTCTAATTGTACTTTTTTCCTTCTCAGTACTCAACCTCATTTACATCAGTCTTTTCTTTTTTTTTATTATTAATATACATCAATACACATTTAAACATCCTTGATAGAAACAATAATCATAGAAAGAAACAGTGTCGTGACAGCTGACCATACATTCATAAACTGACCCCTAATCGTCAACATTTAACTGGGTCAAATTGACTATGTCCAGGTTAGGTTCCATTCACATACATACAAAAAAAAAAAAAAAAAAAAAAAAAAAAAGAAAAACAACATAAATGAGCAGCCTTTTCTGAGGAGGAAAAAAAAAACCTAGGAAGATGATCAACCTGCCCCAAAGACTTGGCAAAGTTAACCTGAATGTGTCAAGATGTGGTGATGGTGGTGGCAGCAGTTTCAAGTGTATCAGTCCTGCATCTTAACATGTCATCCCTTGGTCACTGCTTGTTGATCCAGAGTTAAAAAAATGTAAAAATGTACATCAATGATCTGCAACATGTTGATGTTTTGGAAATGTCTCATTTGCTTCTTTAGTTAGATCAGTCTACAACTTTAGATGAAGGTCACTGGGCCGGCTGAAAGCCTGTGGAGAGAGCAAAGACATTTTTTTTAGCCTCTCATAGCATGCAGTTATAGAATAAATTATGTACATGGTAAACAAAATTTAAAAAAAATAAATAAATAAATAAACTGAACTAAAAACAAACTTAAAAAAAAACAAAAACAAGCCTTCTCTGAACATTTGACTATTTTGAATGATTTGTAATTGTCAGCTTTAAAAAACTTTTATTTCAAGAATTTTGTTTTGTAAATTCTATGTAATAAATACTCTATTCACTACTATGGTTAATAAAACAAACAGAAGAAAATAAAAAGTCAAATAAACATCCGAAATCTGTATGCATATACACTGAAATATTATATTAAAACTATTATGGAAAAAACTTTCTCCAACAATGTTACGGTTATAAATAAAGGAACAAAATTAAACTCTTGAGAAATGCAATCTTCTTCAGACTTTTTTAAAAATCTGAACTAAACAATGAATGCAAATAGTAAAAAAAAAAAATCATTGATTTAATTATCAGAGAACCATTTCTTAAGTTCAACTCTTTATGGATTGCAATACTTAACAGATTACATTTTGTATTCTATATTTATTTAAATGAATTATTTCAAAATTTAAAAAAAAAAAATCGTCATTAAGTAAAATTTTGTATTAAAAATATTTATAAAAGAACGAAAGGCAGATTGTGAAAGCACAAGTTAAATTTAATGGTTTCAGGTGACTTCATGCTGAAAATAAAGAAGGAATTAATGGTGGGATTAGGTCCAACTCAACATGCTGAGAAATTAACTCACACCACTGGACAATAATAGGGAGATAATCTGGAAATTAAGAAGATCCGTATTAGTAGGGATATTAAAAGTTGAAAATGAAATACAAAAGCTCTTAGGAACATGGTTCTCGGTTTTAAGTTTTGGGTTGTTGTTAAAGAACTAGATAACAAACTGTAAAATTTTAAAAATTAGTTTTCTTATTATATTTCGGATGCACTGTTCAATAAAGGCTTATTTCCATCTTTTCATCATTTAAAAGATTTAAAGGTAAAGGAGTTTATGGATGAAAAATGACGTACTTCAAAGATACTCATATGTACTATCATCTTTGACATTGTTATCTAGCAAACCTGTAGAAACAAGGACAATACATCATGGTTTTATTAGATCTTTTACTTTTTATTTGTTTCATTTTACCCTAACTTTAAGTGTAATTGTAAATTTTAAAATATAAAATTCTTGATGGTAGCCCATGTTAATTTTTTGTAAAATCAAATTGACCAGAAGATCTGATATATTTAAATATAAAACTCCATAAAATTCAAGAGTGACTGATTCACCTTTGATGAAACTGTTGTTGAAACAGTTAATAGAATCTACATTTAAATAATACAAAGCGTGCATGCAGATTATAGTCAAAGCAGAAAACTATGAATACATTAGTTTTAAAGATAGATCTAGTAAAAAAATAAAAGCCCTATACCAGGCTTAGATCAGTGATTTGGCCTTGCTTCAAAAACAATTTTTTAAAATGGACTCTGGAAAACATCACCTCTGCATTACTATCTCACCCTACTTACTGTAATAGAGCCAATTAACCATTTGAAAATGAAGCTAACAATAATTCAAATAAATTATCAAACATCTAAACAAAAGAAATATTAACTTTAAAAGGTAAAGCAACCTAACATTTTAAAAAATAATTCAATTAATGAAAAATTTCTAATTAAAAAAAAATGCAACTTTAAAATGTAAAAGAAAAAGGAACATTAAAGCCGTACTAGTAAAAAGTGACCAGAATTGTAAAACAAATTCAGAATAAAAACAAATGACATCAGTGTCTGATTTTGTGAGGCAGCAATTTTTTAATATAGGTTCAAACTTTGCTCATGTTATAGCATAAATCAACTGGTACAATATTAGGGCACGTCAACCCATAGTACATTCAATTAACGGCCAAAATGTATTGCACCAACTCATCATCTTTTACAGTCTTTTAAACAAGGTTATCTACTTGTCTGTTTGATTGCTGCACTTGTTCTAACAAATATTTACCTATAATTGAGTCTTACATGGAAGCTTTAATTTCGTTTTACAACATAAAACCCAGTAAGTTTTATACTCAAAACATTGAAATAAAACTTGACCTTGACCAACTGCTTAGTTAGTTAAATATGAGGTGCAGTAACATAGGTAGGTATATTGAGCGTAAGTACAACATTAGATTACAGAACACCACTGGAATAGATACAACACTCACTATCTCTTTGAGCTGATGTAGTTAGAACAAATAAATTCTCATAAAGATGATTAGTCATTGTGTTAAACTCAGAAAAACTTAGAGGAAACACTGTTATAAGAGATGACAGCGCATGTAAATATATGGTAGTGATCTGAGTCAATATCTATCCAATATGTAACACATGCTGAGATCTATATACACAGAGTAATAGGAGTAATTAGTAAGATAATGTATTGAGGGGAATAAGCTATTTCTTTTACACCCCATGCCTTTAAAACTCTACGGTACTAATGTTGTTTTCATTGAAGAAATCTTTCACACAGATGCAATTGAATACTAGGTATTGATATAATGATTGACAAGCATAGAGACCACAAGTGACACAGCACCCATAGAACACAGGCCAATGTGATATCAAGCAGTTACTTGGATGGGTCATGTTTTCACAAACTGCAAGATAATTGTCATGCAGACTTTGTGATATTTTGAGCACATTGTTGGTGAGTCAAATAAAACTGTTTAATGTAAGAGTTTAAAGCCAAATTTATTTTACTTTCACCACAAGTGTCACAAAATAATTCACAGTCAGCTTACATACCTATGGCAGAAAAAATACTGTCCGTCATCATCCCTCTACATAGGATTCTGAATCATCTACATACAGACAAATACACATTATAAAACTATCAAAATTCTGGATGTTTTTCAGTGAAAAATGGACTACTTTACAGCCTCCAGCCTATGGACACATGAATGTTTTGTCATGTAAAGTGATCACAAGTGTGTGGATGATGACCTATAAACCAGGCTAATACCCTACAACTGCAAGAAATACTTTCTTTTACCATGGGCAAGATGAGAAAAATACAATACTTATGTTACAATTTGAGGTCTGTGCACTTTAAAAATAGCTCAAGGAAACAAATAAGTGATGGCTCAGCTTCTACAATAACAAGCGTTAAAAATTACTTTGAAGCTTTATTTTAAAAAATTAAAAGGGGAAATAAATAATTGTAAAATTTTAAATGGTTATTTATAAAATATTTTCCTCCTAATTTAATTCGATAAAGCGCATAAAATATATAACACTGCTATATAGCAGTTTATCTTTATAAACACCTAAATGATGTTTAAAAGCCCAATGTATTCTAGACAATAAAAAAGCTAACAAAGAATTTTTATTTACAGTTAATTTAAAAAAAAACAACTACAACATGCATTATAGATTTTGTAAGAAAATTAATGAGTAGAAAGACTATTCATGACGATTTTCACAACATAAAAAAAATAATAATTAAATTCGATGGCCATCACCTCGTGTTTAAAATAGGTTATTTAAATGCAAATGGTTATTTGGCAAGGAAAGCCTTATAACATTAGGTAATGCAGAGATGCTTGAAATTCCACATTATCAGTGGTTGAATGTCAGTTACAATTAACATATGTGATCAACTTTTTAAAACGGTGCCATGGCTTATGTTTCTGCTTGTACAATTTTAATGGAATGGTAGAATAAAACTTCAATCTTCACACATTTCATCCATTGGGGATAAGATAACATTATATAAATTCAAGGTTTCTTTTAAATTAATAAAAGGGAGGAAATCTCATTTGAATTTGTAACAACTTCAAGTTTTTTTTTGTTGTAAAACTGTATTAAGGCTTATATTAAATTATAAGAAAAAAATATTATAACAAGCAGAAACTGGACTAATTGTAATTTGTACATTTAAAAAAAGTTTCTATGAATAAAGCAAAAAATTGAAATAGCTAAAGGTTTTATGCAGTGGATTTGTATAACATGAAAAAAGTGAATGGGATTCAAACAACCACATGTGGCCATTTCACTGATCTATGAGCCTGGTATAGGAAAACTGTCAATCTCACCCTGCGGCATGGGGTAGCCCACCATTCCCTGGCCTTGTCCATTAAACTGTTGCTGTTGGCCTGGCTGCACCTGTATCCCAGCATACTGACTCATGGGGATGTTCATACTTCTGGAACAAAACAAACAACAGCAAATACAATAGACAACTAGTAAAAAATAAACATTTTCAAGCAAATTTTAGAGAGACTTAACCCTGAAATGTGACGGCACAGTCAAGCACACCACATTTTGCTCCTGGGTATAGAGCCCATAGGACTTCCAGCAGTAAACCCAGCTATGATAGATGTATCTAACTAGAGTATCTAACCCAACATATGAGGAGGTCATGGAAACTAATAAACCCTTCTTCCTCAGCTCCATGGATCATCAAATTCAAAAGTAAAATGCTACTATAAAACAGATCAAGTAAACATACCCATAAGCCTGATAACTGGAATAACCTGGCCATTGTCCATGAGCAGCAGGAATGTATTGGGTGGCCTGAGCAGGTACTGTTCCCTGGTATGTTGGTGCAGTAGCTGCATAAGGAGCTCCCTGGTAATAACCCATATTGTAGAATTGGCCATACGGGGTTGCCGCAGGTGTGGCTGCGAGGGGCTGCTGCTGTTGAGATGGTAACATTACTACAGGAGGCTGAAACATTTTGTAAAGCAATAATAACAGCTACAAATACAAGCTACGCATGGGACACCGGTAAACAAGAAAATCTATGTGTGCAGCAGTTAGCAGCAAGCCTACTGAAGGGAAGTTGATGCTTACACTGCTAGAAGAGGACTGTTGACTGGAAGGATTGGACTCATTCGACTCTTTCCCCCATGAACATTTGACAGGTTGGTCACTGACCATAGTACCATGGACACCACAGATGGCTTGTGTGGCGGACTCTTTTGTGCTAAATCTAGATGAGAATAGGTTTTATACAGTCAACATTTTGTGGTATCATAAAACAGAAATGAAACTTCATGGCAGGCCTTAGCACTTACTTAAAAAGGATTTTCAAACCATAATTTAAAAAATATTATTCGAAGTACTGTCAAAAACTGAAATTGTACTATTTTTTACCTTATAAAAGCATAGCCTTTATCTTTGAAAACTCTCACTTCCTGAATTGTGCCATACTGTGCAAATGTTTTTCGCATAAGTTCCTCTAAAATATGCAGGAAATTGGAAAAAGAAAAACAAGTGAAATTTGTTTAATCTACACAAAACAAAATTTGAAAAATATATGAAGAAAATAGAAGAAAAAACAAAACCTTCAATTAAATAAGCTGATTAAGGAAAGCTAATTTGCAAGACAAATGTGAAAATCTTTAAAATCCAAATTTTTTTTCATCAGTTTTCACAAACAATTTTTGTTGAAATTTAATACCATTTCTTTACTTCAGCAGCCCCCTAATTTCTATTAAACCCCCAAACAACTTTTAAAATCTTGATCTAAACATAAGTGAGCGCTCTCAACAATACTTTAAACACAGCAGCAATAATAGTGGCTTCTAACTTCTCTCCCTACTACATCTTAGCCATATAATCAAATTGTATTCAAATCCCTAAAGACACACAGCTCCAGAATCATTGATTTTTTTCTGTGTCCTGCCTTTTTTCCATCTCATTTTTTAAATACAGCTGGCTTTCTCAGTCTCCCCCATTAAAATTTCACTCTTTTCACCAGGATTGTAAAATTACTCAATTGATTCTCGTCTGTTTTCACTTACAGAAAAAGAATAATTTATCGGAGCAAACTAAGATAGTGAAAAATCAAACAATTCAAGATCAAGAGAAATAAAAGCTAAACTTCTCATTTACATAGCTCAAATATGCAAGAGCTTTTTTTTTTCAAACCCTGCCTTAAAAATTACTCATGCACATTGTTTATTTGAAGATAGAATCATTTCTTTTAAGAAACAAGTGCGAGCATACTTTAATGTCTTTTAAATAACAGTGCGTTTACTAATTTAAGCATCTAAATTACAACATTAATATTTTATTGGTCGAGTATTCTAGCAATTCTGCAAGAAACGTACCTGTGAGGCCAGTGGTTACACCACCACAGTAGACTGTGCAATTAGTTTGGCTAGACTGATTGAACACTTCATCATACACCAGTGGTTTGGCATCTGAGAAGACAGGTTGAAACAAATGACAACTCTCTTAAGATACAGTTTAAAAATTGAGGTAACCCAGCTTTATTTTCAGTGATTTAAAAAAAAAAGAGTATAATAGTATTTACTTTCTTTGACTACTGGTGCCGGTGGCTTTCTTGTTGCCCAGTTAGTTCTTATAGGCCGTGTACCAAGCCACTGATTGTTCATCTGGTTTATGGCAGCTTCAGCATCCTGTAACAGATACTCACTTTTTTTAAAAACTGATACAATAAGATAATGTCTGCTGTGACAAAAATGGCTGTTTACAAGAGTTTTTTAGTGGAACTTCATAAATATTAAAAATACAAATTATAACAATTATTGAACTCGTTTATCATTTCCGCACTAATTTTTTAAAAACACATTTATAATAAAATTATTTCTTCTCTGTACCTGTTTATTTACATAAGAGACAAATCCATAGCCTCTGGATTTCATTGTGGCTGGGTCACGGATAATTTTACAGTCTCTGTGAGGAAGGAAATAGAATATAGAAATTTAAACTTATTATCAAATGAAAAGTTTATCAGAATTTTGTTGCCTTAGTAAAAACAACTTTTGCATTAGCATTATTTTAAAAATATTTCCATGTTTGATAATGTTCATTTTTTTGATATCATGTTGTATTATGACCGTTCCAGGGTACAAAGTGTCAAAGCAAAACGAGCTCACATCAAAATTATCGGTGATGCAAAATCTAATAATAAGGGTGTATTTATTTTGTGACTGGTGTTTTATCCTGAACTACTTTGTTGAGGAAGGGGGAAAAAAAAACAAAATTAAAAAAAAAACAACCAAAACAATGAAAGTTTAAAAAAAAATTAAAGTAAAAAAAGATTTTAAATAAAACTTTTTAAGTATACAAAGAATTGAGAACTATAAAAATTGAATGAAATAGTCAGCAGAATTTAGTTCCCAAATAAAGAGCTACCTAATACTTTTAGGATAAAAAACAAAGAAGTGCAACTACTTTTTAGGAATTGAACCAAGGTTGTCAGAAGACAAAACAGAATTTGAAATAAAAAATGTTAAAGTATAATATCAATGTAATGTAACAAATATATAGATATGCTGAAAAATAAAATGTATCTGTAACACTATATACATATTGGCACTTCCAAATGGGAATAATTACAAGCAAAACTGTATAGAAATTTTCTAAAAATAGGATAAGATCAAGAGAAATGGATAACAGTAGCCAACTTATGCCAAACAAAAATATTTTATTGTTCCAATGTTTCAGTTTTCAAAATTGTCTAAAATTTGAATTAAGAAACTATCTTTTCTTAATAAATTCAAAATGTAGTTTGTCAACAGGACTTTTGTTTGGCATAAGGCAAATCCAAAGTACAGGGCCTTTGATGACTAGTAGCTAGATATAATTGTAGTTAGAAAAAAAGAAAGAAAATAAAACAATCACACATACTTCATGAAATAAAATGTCACCACAAATTTATTTCAAGGGTTGTGAACAAAAGTGTTAGTATTATGTGTCTGTAGTATAGAAGCGTAGAATGCTCAATGAAATTACTGTAAAACATTGAGCTCCCAAGAGTTCTAAAATAAAATGTTTTGTATTGCATATACTGGATCAGAATTTTTTGGTAGTGTTTTCACAATCATGCAATTATATCAAAGAATTTTTCAGAAATATTGAAATATTTTGAGCATTTCTATTGTGATCAGCTGTTGAGCATGCCTCTTTTTCTACTGATAAAAATAAATGGAGAAAAATACCTCATTTCTTGTATTAAAAAAAAAGCAGATAATTTTTCAAACCTAAGCCAATTATTTTTCAAAAAAGACTAAAAATGGCAAAAAAAAAATCTTGTGTTAACAATACAGATGCCAAGGTCAAGATGATATTAAGAAAATTTTACAATTAAAAATTACAATTTGAAAAATATATATAAAAATAAATATGCAGGTGGAAATTTTAAATAAAAAAAAGGGAAACAAGTGAAAAGGCATACACTTTATAGCCCCATTGTCCCAGGGTTTTACACAAGTAGCCTCTCATTCAGCCATCTGCATGGGTATGAAAATAAGGGGATCCAGTTAAAACAATGCTATAGCGAATACAACAGGATGGCTTGGATACTCAGCCCTAAACTTTCCACACAACTTTGTCAACATCTGATAGAGAAGAAAAACTAAACCTTTGTTCTGGTTATACCTAAACTAAGAAAGGCATTACAGTAGTACATTCTTAACTCAAGTTATATTTTACAACCTAACAAATACTCTTATAATTTCACTTTAACTCTAACTTATGGTAATAACTGATAAAAATGTAATAATTTTAGAAAGAAATCTACAGCTTGCTATTGTCTAAATTAGGGCTGTCCAGCTATACTAGTAACATTTTGTTAGATCCCAGTTAGCAAAGACAACAAAAATAGAATTCAAGTAATCAAAGTGAAGGATGAGTTTACTAAAGATGATGCTATATAGTTGGTACTACTAAGCTCCTAATATCAAAGACTTGCTTGGCAGCATTCCAAGTATTACTGTCCACCCATTGGTCTTCTTAAATTAAAGATGCTTTACCTCTACAGTAAACAATCAATCTATCCTTGAACATTGTACATTTAGAGCAGCTATTTTCAATTAAACACTAATCCTATTGAGAAGGTACATCGAATAAACCTGGCTTTCATTAGGTTTTCTAAAAGTCCAATTTTCATTTCTTTTGAGATGGGCTATGTTATTGCTCACTCAGTTTATTCTTTCAATATAGCCCAGGGGTGTTGAAAAGTTGGACAGCCCTGAACTAAAGCATGAGATCACAACAAAATTATTCCACAACAATCACAACAATAGTTCCTCCTTAAAAAACGAAATAAATAAATCATGAGGCAATTTGAAATACACCCAAAACCACTTTTTAGCGAATATTTTGACAAAACCAGCATTTTAAAAAAAGATGTTAAACAATGGCATTTTTAAGTGCTTTGATCTATTTTGATTGCAGTCTATACTTAACTTAAACAAAAGAGACTACATAAGATAATCATTAAAATTTAACACAAAATTTAGGCTGAAACAAAAAAATTGGGAGAGAGAAGAGCTCTAAACTTGTTGGCTTGCCTCGGTGGGACCCTTTAACCCCCTACAATAAAGCCTACCCCCATTCCCCATAAAAAAAAACACTGCTATTTCATCTGAATGATTATTTCCCAAGTGACTTTTCCAAACCAGTTGATGATATCCATTTTCTGAGCTGAGTATTGTTCTGTTTTCCCCTACTTTTTCAGAGCTAGACTCACTTTGCATGCAGCTCTGGAACATTGGGTCCGGCTTCTGTCAATATTTTCCACCATCAGTTTGCATAGCCAGGGCAAAAAGTGGCCTATTAATATTTTATCCATTGTGGTAAGTTTCTCTAACAATCCATTATACTATAGTGGTTAAACTTGTTTTGGGGTGGAATGTGAGGCAAAACTAGAAGATCCAAGTGATAGGGAAAACTCTGGGGTGGTTCACCAGGGAGGGTTTACTCATGAATATAACAGATTGTAACAAAACTTGGAGACAATACAATGCTTGGTAAATGAAAAATGTGGCATATTTTTACATAGCTCAACATTATCTTCAGCACCTATGAGAAAAGCAATTTTAAGTTAAAATTTTTGTTGAAAGTTATTCTTATGTAGAAAGCTCGATTGTAACTAAATGAAATTATTGAAGCAGAATATTTCATATTTTGATAGTGATAAAATAAAATGATCATATATTTTGTAAACTCCTAAATTTCAACAGTTATATTTCCATTTAATTCATTTAAAATGATCATGATGGCCCCATTTAAAATAAGACACTGATCATTTATTTTTTAATATTTTTGAATATCGTCATAAAAAAAGCACTTATGCAGTTAGCAAATCTTTAGGGCAACAGAAACAAATCTCATGAACCTACATGAAACTATACAAAATAATAATTTAAAAAAAAAAACTGTTTCAACACAAAAACCAGATCTTTAAAATCTGCAATTGTTTTTGGTGGTTATGGTTGGGAAAAAATCATTAAAATAAATCAAGTTCTCAACATATATTTAAGCTTTTAAAACATTTTTTTCATCAACAAATTCTAGATTCCACTTTTAATATTTAATAACAAAAAGAATAACTTTATTATTAATAGAATAGCAAGCTACTCATATTCAAGATATGTTATTCAATTAGTATATTAGTGTTAAGTCTTGAGATCTATTAAATTTTTGTGGTCTTTCTCCTAGGGTTGTTTGTGTGTTTGTGGTGGTTTTTCATCCACTTACATGTTAATAGGGGTGAAGATATAACATCCCCCCTTCCCCCTTTCAGGAGATCACAAATGGATGACCCCCTTGCATCCATAGGTAAGCTAGCTATCTGACAAAAAACTAAGTTCTGTCACTACACATCCTCATTATTTGCTAGCTATAGAATAACATTCAATTTAAAAGTTAAAATGTTCAATGTTTTTTAGTCAAATATATGATTACAACATACAAAAACGGCAGATGGTATTAATTACCAATACAAGAATATCAACTTAAAACAAAGATTGTACAATAATTAACTTAGTGTCTAACTCTAACAGCAGGCTATGTATTGTGCATGCTAGGTGTTTGATTATGCATTGGACCACAGTTTGTACTAAAAGTGCTATAAATATATATTGACAACAGATCAACATCGTAAAATGTGCCTTTCATAATCTGGTTATGTATACTGGGTATTTTAGAACTGTAACCAAAACAAGGTCATGGAATTTACTACCCAGGGTCTCAATGGCAAAACATTTGAGACTTTTAGTGATAACAGTTTTTAACTCTTAACAGTTTTGTTCTCACATAAGAATGAACTACAGACCGTTAGAGCAAAGACAAGTTGAAAATGCTTTTCACAATGAACTAATTAAAAAGCAATAAACCAAAAAGGGTGGATTTTTTTAATTTAAAAAAAAAAGGGGGGATTAATTACAATACAGGTCTAAAAAAAAACAACCTAAATGCACAATTAAAAACATGAAAGAACTAATTACTGTAAACACAATTTACAAAGTTTTTGAAAAAATAATAGTTTAATGCTTAGATTTCTAACTTAAATCCATATTGTAAGAAAGCATAATTATTTAATCTATATGTGGCAATAAGATTGAATATTAAAAAAAAAAATCATTTACTTTATTAAACTGATGCAGCAGTGTCTTTAGTCAATAGCTTCACAATGGTGTAAACAATTTGGTAAATATTGAGAAACTATTTAGTTTTAAAATGATTGTGTGAATGATGCTTCAAGAAAGGCAAAATACATGAAACAGTTTGGCTTCAATTTATATTTTGAGTACTTCTATATCTCCAGTTCATTGGTGTATACATATATGGACTTGTATATTTCAGCTAAGACATTGCCAAATATTTGAACTGTCATAGAGTTACAATATGATACCTGCATGAACTACATATTATAAATTTAGCTGTAATTCAGTACATTAAATACATTTGTCATAAGCATAAAAGAAACTGAGAGCAATTTTCAGAGTATTTAAACTAGTAGTTAATAGATTCAGGCCACTAATTACATACAGAGACAATTATGATTTATCAACTTACGAGATCTCGCCATAGGCAGCGAAGGCATCTCTCAGCTGATGCTGTTCAATATCGGCACTGAGGTCCCCTACAAAAACATGAAAATGTTCTGAAAAAGAAAAAAAACAAGAATAAATAAATACAGTGTTGAGAAAATGCACCACATATGCCAAATGACAGTGGTACGCTGATAATATAACAACCAGAAGTTTCCAATTTGTATGCCTAACCACCCAGTCAGACATTGAGGTGCTACATCGCGTTGTCATCTTTGTGAAAAAGTGTGTTCATATGCTGTTTAGGGTTGGTTGGGGAGTGCGTTAATATTTTCTCAGTGGAACCAGGTCAGTTGTTATAATATACATGTCCACTGACTGCTTAGGATAAACCAACTTTTGATGTTATTTTTCTTAGTGATTTAAAAAAAATAACAAAGAATGCACAATGAAAAAAGGGTAAGAAATGACTCTGACTTAACTTTCATGCCATTCTTCCAATCTGGTCGATGATAACCTGGAAGATATTCAATCTTTGTCAGAGGAAAATTTCATACAAGGGTGCTTGGGTCGAGAAAGCTCAACTTCTATCAAAACATCCCTGCAGTAGCATCAATACAGTAACTATCTACTCCTCAACACTTACTTTGCTTTTTATTGTTTGGAAAAAGCACATGCCTACTTTTATTCAGAGTTCATTCCACAAAAAATCAACTCTATTAATTTGACTGATTACAAACAGGGGCGGAACTACAGTGCCGCCAGACCCCGCAATGCGGGGGGGCCCACGACATTTAGGGGCCCACAGCCGACCAAAATCAATTTTTTATTGTTAAAAAAAATAATTTTCGTGCATTTTTGACTTGATGGATGTTTTGTAAAAAAGATTACCGTAGCTGCGGTTGGATTATCTTTATTCTATAGACACCACCCCAAGCTCTTGTATATTCTCTTTCCCTTTGTTTTTAAACCACTCTGAAAGCCGTCCTCTTTCTCCTACAATCAAACTTATCAAAGATAGGCAAACGTTCACGCCACTTCCATGACTTATTTCCCTTTTTTAAATAGTCAAATAGGGGTGCTCATAAGCTCCTTGTAATAGATTTGTACTAAACAAATTAAAAAGCAATTATTTCTCTGAATTATTATTTTTTATAAAGTACTTAAAGAATGACACTGTATAAAAAGGAAATGTAATTAAAATTAATAATATAAATTTAAAAAAAATAAAAATAAACATAACACGAGAAACCATTACTTATACAAAACTTTCATGGTTTATATTATTTTGACCGACTAGAGGTTTAGGGGTCTTATAGCAAAGATAAAATAAAACTGATTTTCACGGAACACACAAATGCACTTACACACATGACATGTTGTTGTAATTTGCTTTAATTAAAAAAAACTTTTTTTTAATTAAAACCCGACCAGGCCTGACATGAGTATCCTATGTTCGTATTTTGTGTTTGTATATATATATATATATATATATATATATATATATATATATATATATATATATATATATATATATATATATATATATATATATATATATATATATATATATATATATATATATATATATATATATATATATATATATATATATATATATATATATATATATATATATATATATATATATATATATATATATATATATATATATATATATATATATATATATATATTATATAGGGGGGGGCTAAAAAAAATTTTTTGCGGGGTGGCCCTTTTTTTCTAGTTCCGCCACTGATTACAAACCAATTTCTTAAGAGACAGGTACAGCACTTATTTGGATTGACACATTCAGCAGAGATAATTTTAGACCCTCATTAGAACAGAGTAACTGATATTTGCCTTTAGAATAGACAAAGTCTTCAACTTGGTGAAAGGAGCAAGTCATTTGTTAAAGATTAATATTATACAGGATTTACACCAAAGCTCAATTTGATGTGTATTGCCTATAGGAACACAATATGATTTGAACATTTAAATTTATTATGTTAATTGAGAAGGGGAAAAAAAATCAATCAGTTTTAGATTGTGTTGTTTTAGATTTACACCAAAGCTCAATTTGATGTTTATTGCCTATAGGAACACAATATGATTTGAACATTTAAATTTATTATGTTAATTGAGAGGGGGAAAAAATCAATCAGTTTTAGATTGTGTTGATATTAAACACAATTGCTGACTAAAGAATGGTCAACTATTTCATTTCCAGTAGTTGAATTCAATAATAGATGAAGGTTTAGGAGTTGGGTTCAAGTGACAGATAAGACGTGAGAGGATGATGATGGTGTAACCTAATTACACGCCTGGATCAGATGGGCACAGGCCATAGATCATGTGTGACAGCAGGAAGATGGCCGTGGGGAATTTCGTGAGAGCAGTGGAGAGATGGAGGGAGAGGGAGAACCAGTTCACAGTATGCACACAACTGTATCAAACCCCCAGTGCAGAATGACCGGGGGAAAATGATTAGAAACAATCAAGAAACCATTTGAGCACCGCGTGTAACAAAGACTGTATAGAGGGACCACGACAGAAAAATTATTCCACACAGACATCAGTACGTGGATACTACACAGTTTAAAAGCACCCCCCCCCCAAGCTCCGTGGGGAAAAAAACAACTTGTATTTACCATGTAGAGAAGACATCAGTGGTTTAAGTGTTATAAATCACAGGCTTGAAACAACGCTAGTTTTCAATTCCCCCCTCTCCCACACCAAGATGAATTTTTAAAAAAAACACGCGAGTGAAGAAAAAAAATGTAACCTCAATCCATATGGTCAGTCTAGGAGCTCAGATCAATGGGATGGTGCAAGCTAGAAATAAATTGTTTGACGGGTCAGGGAAAGCGGTGAGGGGAGGGTGGGGGAAGGAACAAAGATAAATGGATTCGGCATATCTATACAGTCAGTTCATTTTGGCGTAACAACATTTTCAACTTTCACTTGAGCTTTTTAATGGTGGAGAATTTATGTAAATGGCCTGATTCAGTAATCTGGACGTAAAAACCAAACAAAATCTAAATCCTATAATGATAATGCGATACAAAAGGAACGTTCCGTATGTGCTGGCTAAATAGATCACTTTTTCTCCCCGGGACGAATAAACATCTCAAATGGGGGCGGGGAGAGAAGGGGGAGGTCAGGCAACAATATATGGACAGCAACACCAAAACCGGACAATGTTTAAATGACTAAAACAACAAGTTAAAAAAAAAAAGGTATCAATTGAATGCCGTACAAACAGCTCGTTTTGGCCGCTCACACGACTCATCCTTTAAAATGTGACAGTACTGAAAGCAATAGGTAGACAGAGAAAACAATCAGGACCGGCGGTGGAGGCAAGAAGAGGGAACTAAATTTGAAGCTACATCCACTCATATTGATCAAATGTTTCCCGCACGAGATGAGCATATTAAAGCCACTTGAGTGCAGCTGAAATGAAATTGGATTTTCTCTGCTAGCCTTGTTGCCTTTAATACACATACAAGATTTTAGACATCATGCTATTCCCTTTTGACATCTACCTCGCCATCAGTAAACTACCGGAATCAACGTGGGGAGAGAGTAACTCGTCCTTAACTGGGACATTATGGTCACCAAATGAAAGCCTTGCTAACGAGGTTTTGGAGATTTTTTTTTATCTTCTTCTTTCTCCGGCTGATGACAAATTACTTTTAGATTTGTTGCTGAAATATTTACTTCAATTACTTCATGGAAACACACCACTAGGGCTTAATGCTTGATTTATTTTAATTGATGTGGGAATAAACAGTTTCACGCGGATATGATTAATGATCACACCACTGTCTCTATTGCGTGCATGCCTGGACATCCACGCGCCTATCTATGACTTGAAATAGTAGGTACAGGGGCCGTCCTTAACGCGTAAGCACGGGTACATTATACTTGACACCAGGGGAAAAAAATGGGCCGAGGATAATAAAGGGCTTCTTCATAGCGTGCTGTGTGTTTGAACCAGCGGGTCAGCGCGGTTAAATCCGAGTGTTTTATGACAGTCAGTGCGTTTAAATTTTAAGTGAAATCCATTAAGCAGGATGTGGTCAGGTAGTGTTTTTTTTGTTTTGTTTGTTAGCGGCATCAAATGAATATTGTGTGGCACAATGGGCGGGGTGTTTGCTGTGTAGCGCGGCGTATGGCTAAAAATAAAATGTATACCGCGTGAATACACCATGTTACACAGTGAGAAGAGAACCTCCCCCGAGTCCCTTGTTCGGCCAGGATGGATGACAAGGGGAGAGAAATCTATTTGAACATAGTAACAGGGATGGGTGGGGCCACGCTACACCCAGAGACGTGTAGTTTGTGCTGCCATTCTTCTATTTAATAATCTGCGCGCGATTGTCCTGTCTTGAGCAATTAACGCCAATGCAAACATCGAGGTATAGCCATTACGCTTTGGCCTGCCTGGACTAAATGCCAGACTAATTATCAACTGATTCAAAGCAAGAGAATGCCATTTGTATGCTTTGGTAATTGCAATATTTGGGAGTCATCGGGGGAGTTTGATATAGACAGGCTGCATACGAATTCACAGTAACAACCACTGCAGTATTTGTGGTTTAGGGGACATTTTATTGTTTTGGTGTATATTAATTCGGCCATCATTTTGTAATTAATGTAGTGTGGAGAAAAAATGTGCTTGTTTGACTACAAGTGTTAGGTGTGGTTTTAAAATAATAGAAACTACTTACTGCTAGTGTCCTGTTTGGGTGCCGTGCTTGGGGAAGCTGCCCAATTCACTTTCATCTCCTGTAGACAAAAACAAAAAAATTAAACAAGGGTGAACATTTGTAACAACTTCAGAATGTTCAATGAGGAGGGAAATAAAACAGATCAACTGGTACATAGACGAGACCTCGTTTACAGACTTAGGTTTAGGAGGTTGAATAGAAGCCTTTAGTATGAATACAAGCAATTGAAGCCATTCCCCCCCCCCCCCCCCCCCCTTTCCCCACCCAACAAACTGATGCTCACGGCTTAGAAGGAAGCAGGGATGACTAACAACCACATTTACCGTTTATCAGATAAATCAATACATCTTGACCTAAAAATTAATAACTCTTGAAAATGCCATTTCATACCTGTCGTTAAGTTATATTTTAAAACAAGAAAAGAAATAGGGGTGTAAATTCAACACGTTCTTATGCTTATATTGTACGCGTCTTTTTTTTTTCTCGCAATAAATCATTTCTTAATGTTTGGTTTCTAGTACTAAGATGAAATTGGATTTTCCACCAACTTGAACCCTTCTATTGGAGAGATTGGCCCCGCCCGGCGGCAATGAATGACTATCACAAGCTGCGTGCGGTTACGATCTCAACTCCAGTAAATGGACTTGCCAATGAACTGAAGAGTTCTTTTAATTTCACAAGCCTTATTGATACAGACAAACTATTAACATCAGTGGTGATTTCTCTTGTATCTCATTTCATTAGGGAACAGTTTGAAACAAGGACAGCTCTGAAATAGTATGGCTTTAAAGTATCACTGGTTAAACCCAGGCTCGACTGATTGATAGAACTGTTTGCAAACTGAAAGAGATTTTTTAAGAGCCTGACATTGAGTTAAATTAAATCAAATCGCCATAACGCAACCTCTAAGCGTGAGAAATACGCACGCACATATCCTGAAAGCAGCCTTGGACAGCTTGAACATTCTCAATTTCGGTTGGAATATTTTTCTTTTTCAACAAGGCTCCAGCGAGAAACTTTTTCCCTCTTTTATTTCAACATTTCCTGTCAATCTGGCATACAGTGTTAACATGTCCATAGGCTTTTCCTTATTGTGCAGGAATTTAAGTAAAGCTGAACAAGCTGTCATTTTTATAATGTAGCTCTCCTACAGATATTTCCCGACAACGTTGACGTGATGGGGAGAGAAACTCTTGCACTCGTATAAATTATAAAGCGCTAATCTCTAAAATATTGACAGAACACAAGACCACTACTCGCCTGCTGTTTATGAACACAGCATTGAGGATGATACACAGTGAGAAATATAAAAGTTTTGTATTTTTAAGTCAACCCATTACAAAAAGATTTGGAAGATTCAAACATCGTAAAGTAAAAGCACAGCATGATGCTAGGCTGTGTAGTTCCAGTCAGTATCACTTACATAATGTAGTGACAGCTGTGAGCATGAATGATTTCTGGAACCAAACTTGGTTCATTCGACCCCCTTGGGCGAACTAGAGTACTTTGAGAATGTTGAACACTACAAGATTCTATGTAATTGATATTTTTCAGGAATCTATACATTACATTTAAATTATTAAATAAGTGTCTCTATGTCCCGATGGGAGGGGGACATTGAGGTTTAAATTAAACGTTACTCGCTATACGCAATCATCTATCAGAAAAAAAAATATTCTGGTACTTGGCTAGATTGAGATGATCAAACATCGTTCGAGTCGATGACCATTAATTTAGCCTCAACCCACCAGGAGCAGCTAAGCTGGACAGATGAAATGTGACTTGGTTTCCCTCCAAATTGTAATGCCATTACCAGCACCTCTGAGTAGTCTCTAGTCTTCATGTTTTAAAGAAGCTTATATTTTAAAGTATCTAGTCTGGGGGGAAGCTTCCAATCGATGTTTGCGCTTGTCTAAAGTATCTAAGTAAACATTAGGATAGCTGCTGCTGTGTACGTCTGACCCAGCCGACATAGATCTAACCGACGAACTTGTACTTCAAACATCATCTCCATCCGAATGGGACTCAAGCAACCATAAACTCGGCTTTCTTTCAATGGATCAGAACAACAAAGATTACACGCGAATCAAAGCATTAATAGCGTCCAGTGGTGGAAAAAAAAAAAGCTCAACCCTAGAGCGCAACATTTCCAGCGAGCCTAACTAACTCATTTATCATTTTCAAACATAAACAATGTTTGCACCTTCTAGCTGAGCAGGATATCGATCCCCAGCACACACTCAACAATTGCTCTAACTTGGTGAGCTGTTCTTGCTCACGGTTAACCAAAAAGCAAGGTACATAAACATGAACGTGTTGGGGGGGGGGAGCCGGTGGTCTGAAGGAGATGCTGAGTAGTGTACACAGGCCGTCACGTTGAACTTTAGTCACGTTTTAGATACACACAGAATTCAATCATCGAGTCTGTGAAAATAGATACGGTCATGGCGAATTTAACCCCCACAAGCTAATGTACCAAAAAATAATCAGTAGCTTCTTACTTTAAATCGATACAGTCTTACGTTACAGTCCCATTTTGTGATTGAAATGTTGTAAAACTAAAACCACTTAAAGCAAATATAACGGGAGGGTGGAAATGGTGGCGAGTGGTACTCTATTGCATAATTGCATTATTCATGACCTTGTTCAAACTATACCCGCCACCAGCACACGGCAGAAACAATGTCCCTACACAAATCTACATGCAAGATACTGGATCACTTCAGACCAGGCTTATCAAATATTTAACTCACTTGAAACGATCAAGAGAATCAAATCAATCAATTATTTCTTTTCGTTTTCATTGGGTTTTTCTTTCTCTTCCATCTTGTAAAAGCGTGTTTTAAACCCGAACTACACGATCTTTATGAAATAAAGAGCGACAATTAAAACTGCAGCAAGCGTGTGGGCTCAAACAGGCGGTGACAAAGATGACACATCAACAGGCACGAATTCTAAACTAACCCTGGTCGTGTGTGTAAATTAACAATCATGGAGACTTGTATGAAAAACTAGCCCAACGGAAATGGCAAAGACAGATACAACTCTGCGCTGGAAATGGCGGAAATCGGTCTATTGTCAGGGCCCTGCCGGTTATCCGAGCTGAGAACAAGGTACAAAGGTTGGCAGAAAAGGAAAACAGTTCCATGCACAAACGTTATGCTGTATGGACACGTTAAGGCACTAGCACACTTTTTAATTACAACACTGGGGGAACTACATGAACCGCGAGAGCAGAGGTTAGATTGTCAGCTGAGTACTACAGGAGATGGAAATGTTGCAGTAGACTAGAATCTTTTATTTAAAACAGCATACACAATTTTGTTAATATCTTAGTTGATATCACGTATTGTTTTAAAATTGTCTACCTCCAAGTGATCATGTATATGTATACTTATATGTATATATATATATACACATATATATATATATACACACATATATACTTTCATATACACATACATATAAATGTATTCATATATATCGTTTTTTTAGACGTGTATCAGTATTTTAGAACAACACATCGAAGCTGTGTTGAAGTAAAACAAAACTGGCTTTTAAAAAAATGGGGCAAATATACACTCGGGTAAATGGTCACCTTTGATTATAATAGCGCGACTGCTAGACTTGGAGCTCAGTGACTGGCAACAGAAATGTCCATATCGATCCTAACCAAACTAGATTAGAGATGGATTAGATATAACAATAAATCGAAACCCCGTTGAGTCTTCATGATTTTATCACTAAAGCAAAGGACGTGGATGTGAACAAATGGAACAACGACGCGAGACGAAACCAAAAACACATGTCCGAACTGGAGTTGTTAAAACAGCGACGTGTTCGCCTAGAATCAATAGATGGATGGAGGGGGTTGATTATGTATATGATATGATTAATCGCATGAGGTAGAGTTGCGGGCTGTTGTTTGCCAGTAGTAGGGCGCATTTTAAAATGCTAAAATCTAGTTTTTAAAGCCTGTGTTATATACTTTAAAACAAAGCTACGTGTATTATATATATATATATATATATATATATATATATAAACACACATATACATATATATATACACATACATAGATATACTCATATACATATATATACACACATATACATATATATATACACATATACATAAACAAAAAACAATACATCAATGTACATATCTATTCTCTAAATTGCGTCAACATTTCCCCCCCCCATCTAATTACACTACTGTGTAAAATTTGAATTTTATTCTGCCAAGATAGGAAGGGGTTAAAAAAAAAGTATATTCTGTTTGTATATGTGAAGTGGTTAAAAATGTGAGGGAGTAGTGGGTCAAAAAGATATTCTTGATTGCGAGGTTGGGTTGAGAGCGACATCCGCTCATTGATTACAGAGTCATCTGATCAGATTGTGAGCCGGGCCAAATTCAATTAGAGCATTTGCACACACACAGCTGTAACCCAATCGAATGAATTAATGGCGAGGTGTAGGGCCTTACATGACGACAATATGCTCTTATTTGCCTCATGTCAGCCCTTGTGCCCCAGGTGCAGAAGAAAACATTTGGAAAGAAAATTAACGTTTCTAGATTGGTGGGGCTTTTGGCTGAATTGATGCTTAAACCAACACTGCAATACGATCTGTGTACACTGGTTGGTTCAACAACAGATACATGCTAGGCGATGCCTGGACTACAAGGCAGACGTTCAATACTAAAAACAAACTGCACTGCTTGTGTTTTTATAACATATTTAATCAACGAAACCATGTTGTATGTGTGCCCATGTTCACAAGTGCTCATACACGTTTTAAAAACTAAAGAAAATTGTGACTTGAATGAAATGTGATAGTAAACAACCTTAGCGTGGGTATAAATGGACACTTTTCTACCGATAAAGTTTAAAGTATGAACTCAAGACAGTATTAGCCCTCAAGAGCAAATGATGAATTAAAAACTAAATGAAAACATTGTTTCGTCCCTAAACGTTAAGGGAGCTAATGATATCCAGTGTATTAATTTTGATGAAGCACCGTGTTCACAGGAGCATATAATAAACATGAATTAAGCAGG